ACTTCATTATACAGGAGACCCTGTTTCCATTTCATTGGTTATGAATAAAGTGCTTTAATTTCAAAGAGGGGTTTGGCCTTTTTGATGAAATAACAATGAAAATGTGAGTTTTGCTAGTAATCTTTTACTACAGGTAGTGAATGGTGTTGACAGATCACAGTATAAATTTTACAGTATTCTCTAAAGCATTTTAAAAGGGTAACAAACAGATAATCTGCAGGAGGATAACACATGGGATAGCTACAGTAATCTCTATACTTTTACTTTGATAACATCCTTGTGTTTATTATTTATAAGGTTTCTTTTTATTAGAAATGATTACTTGACTAATGTTTACATCTTCTTTGTTTCATATTGTACATTCCACCCCCCAAAACCTGACATTTACTATACATTACATAGTTAGTGTTTCCCTTACAAAACTTACTGTGCTACATGTAAACACATTAGCTCTATATCTCTTCACAACAAATGCGTTCTACTTCACTGGGCTATGCAGGTGACTTCTCACAAATGTAGGCTACCTGTTAAGACAAACTAAGAGAGTGTATGTTTATGGTTTAGACAGTTTATGCATAAATACTAAGCTAACATTATGTGGCAGAGACTTTTCAATAGTAGTATGCTAATAACAAAGCAAGCGGAGTTAACGTTAGTGTTGTAGCATGAAGTTCCAAATAAAGCAAAATGCTACATCCAACCTGCTACTCTGCTTATTTAACTGGCTTCAAATTCATTTTCACATTTACACAGTTCCTCTTGACTCTCCCTCAGTAACAGCATCGCTGTCAACAACAATTGCTCCAGTGTTGTGTACAATAGATGCTACCCACATTTACTAGGGTGACCAGACGTCCCTGTTTTCCGGGGACAGTCCCCAGTTTTGGTGGCCTGGCCCCATCTGGAACTGTCCCCGGAAATGTCAGTGTTAACTGTGTGTTAATCATAGACTGTATAAGGTGTTAACAGACCTGAAATCAGATTTTTACGTGGCCAGAAAGACTGGAGAGCAGAGAATACAGGTGTTGTGCCGAAAAGTGATCGTCCACCAAAAATTGATTGCCGTCTGCGGGAGCACGTGCAGTATGTTAAAGCTGTATCGCCCAGTCTCTTTACGACTGCAACTGGGTCTGGGTCAAACAGACATAACGTACAAATAAACATCACGGAATAATCATAATTGTGGCCAAATAAGTGTTTGCCGTTTATAACCAGGCCTGACATTTATGTGATTATTGGCAATAATAGAAGCCTGTTGTTGCTGATGGAATATGTGTTTGGTAGGCCTATGTCTAATATCCTTGTTTATATTTGGAAAACAGACTGTAGCCTATAATTAACATGATTTACTGCTGAGTTATATATAAAATAGACATATTTTTTGCTATTATCTTTGTGACCTTACATTATTTAACTTGCTGTGTACCAACCAATCCAGTCCCTTTTACCTGTTAATACCTTTAAATGGCCAATACAACCCATAACATGCAGTATTTCACTGCCAGAAAGTGAGTGCAGCCTCTACTTATTGAAGGTTTAAGGTTATGCTTTTCAATTTTAGTTTTCAAATGCAATTATTCAAGTTGAGCAATTTAAATTAGAATTATTCAAATTAAATGTCTAGTGATGCATATTTCTGCCCATACATGCATCTTTTGTGGTTAGTTCCCTATTTTTTTCCTCCCTAATATGTACTTTCCATTCATTTCCCAATCTTAATACACTATATTGGTAAATCATACTCCCTGAAGGTTTGCGCTGGCATCTGTTCTTACAAACTCCATCTCTCTCACTGTGTCCCTCTAGGTTAAGACAGCATCTGCCAGCTACAGCATGTCCCTGCAGTCTCCTACAAAGTGTCATTAGCTTCATTTAGTCTTGCTATTTGTCTTTCCTGCAAACCCCCATCACCCCATAATGGTTTGCAGGTTAATGTTGAATTTGTCATGGTTTATAAAACTTCTAGTAGTTGGAGGAGAAGCATAGTAGTGCCTGCCATCAGTCCAGTTTACCTGAATATCAGGTGAGATGTTAGCAATGACATTGGTATTTCTTTGATTTTAAATACCAAAATGACATAAAGTAGATCTTGCCCCCTGGAAGTTTATCACATATCTTTAGCCCTGACTCAAAAGTGGTCTAAAGGGTGGAGCTGACTTTGTAATCCCTGCCATCTGTTGTGTAGATCAGGTCCCACTGTATGGCGACCTTTATGTAGGCCACCCTCCATCCACCCCAAACACACACCAAGAGGGGAAAGATTGGCACTGTCTAATTCCATTTAAATCTCTCTCTTAAGACACACTCACTAGTTTCCCGTCACTTCCATCTTAGGTCATGATGAAGGGAAGGAGGAAGGCTGTGAAGAATGCCTGGCAACATGCTTGAGCACCTGAAAGCCTATGACTGCTGCAGAAGTGTCCCCCTAGAAGAAGTTCTTGTGTTTCTTCTTTGTCATTTTATCTCCATGAAATGATAAACCTGCATAATAAACCTCCTTTCCCCTTAAAGTACTACAAATATTGAATTGCCCTTTTGAGCTTGATCCCACCTCTCTCTCCTTGGCCCAAATGTCAACGCTTAATCCTACCAAAAAAAAACCCTGATGATCTTGGCAGAAGAGAGAACTGTTAGGACCTAGTTAGAGAGCAAAGAAGAGGAATGAGGGCTGGAAAAAAAGAAGAAAACAGGGATGATGATTTCCGATAAAAAGTAGCGGCGAGAGAAGAGAGAGGAAACGAGAGAGAAGTGGAATTACGAGAGCGAGTTGGGAGAAGTGTGCAGCATACGGTTGCACCCCCCCCCCCTCCCCCTCATTAAGTCAGTCAATGTGACAGGAAGACTTATGTAACACCCCAGAGATGGAGGGAGGAGATGGAGAAAGAGTAACAAGGAGGAGGATGAAAGAGTGAGCAAGGAGAGCAGCTGTGAAGGGGTGGGTGGGGTGGCGGGGTGGGGGTGGAGGGGTGATTCAGTGGCATAGACAGAGGAGCGGGTAGAGAGATAAAGGGGCAAAATATGAGGAGGAGAGAACCTAAGACAATTAAACAGGAGATATATGAAGAGAGGGATCTGGGTTAGATAGATGAAGAGAAGGGGGGGGAAAGATAAAAAAGCAATTGAAAGGTCTACCATGCCTTTTAGTATGGCTCTGCTGGCTTTACACTTTTCATTTGTTTTGTGGGGGAGAGATTAGCAAGAGGATTAAGAGAGCGATTCTCCCGCTCCTCATTCTTTCTCTTTCCCTCTCTCTTTCTCTCTCTCACATGGGCACACGCACATTTGCTCAGTCACTCACTAACTCATTTACGCATGCATCGCACACACAAGTACAGTATAATGGCATGCTTTTAGAAATTGTTTGCATGCAAGTACATGTTTATCCTGTGACTGCAAGTTTCCCACTTGGGTTAATAAAAAGAACTGAACTGAACATAGTAGGGTTACAGCTAACCATTATTTTCATTAATTTACCTGTTAATCTGAGAACTATGTTTCTGAATAATCTATAGGTTGTTTAGTATACAAAATGTCAGAAAATCGTGCAGATTTACTTATTCAGTTTGCTTGTAAAAACACAGCACATTAAATCACAATAATTGTCAATCGACAAATTTTTAATCGATTAATTGTTTCAGCACTAATACATATTTTGTACATGAATCACACAAGCACACTCTCACATGCACATATATGTGCACAGTTCATGACGCAAGGATGAAAGTTAGACACAAAAATGCACACACACACTTTCTCTCTCTCTCTCTGACACACACACACACACTGTTCTATTCAGTCATTGAGGTAGATTTGGCCGTGAGCCAGTGAGGTGTGGAGGTGATTGGGCAGCTTGGGGCTCTCAGACCATGTTTGCCAGTACATCTGGCTCGTTCTCTCTCTCCCTCTCCCTCGTATCCACCTCCTGCTCATCTTCCTCTCTCGCTCCACTTCTGCTGTTCATGCTTTCTCTTCCTTCCCCATTCTGCTCTCCATCTGTCTCTCTCACTCATTCCCTTCATCTCACTCGCTCTTCTGTTCAGCTCTCTCCACTCTTTCAACACACACAGTCTCTTTTTCTCTCCTTCTCTGAAAAGCTTAGCTTTTCTCTCTCTCTACCTCCCTCCTTTTAAACAGCAAAAAGCAATTTCTCTCCCTTTGTCAGGGCGGTTGGCGGTAAGCCCTTAAGTAGGGATTTTCTGGTTTGGCTGGAATGCCATTAGGCGAGCTGACGGTGACGTGCCGTGACTGACGTGCCGAATCTTTTTGATGTCGTGATGTCACAATCCAGCGGAGGCTGTGGTTATGATATTGTTGGCGTCTCCGGAATGAGGGGCTTTAGTGGTCATGTCAGGAGTAAGTCTTCATAAATCCTTTATGGCACAGAAATATTAAGCTTCTTTGGTGGTACAGGGACAGAGTGAAAAACATGGTGGAACGTACACACACGTGTACAGAAAGAAAAAAAGATGCACACACAGACACAAAGCCACCCATATGCACGACTAGGTGCACATAGTCCAAGAATTTGTTTCACACCGTAACACACACACAACTAGCTACTTTGTTCAACAATGTTCACACATTTTGGAAACCATCCTAGTGGCTGCATCATTGTGTGTCATCGTTTTTTTCACTTAAATTGCACGCACACACACATCTGGCATTTTCCCCTTTCACACACTCTTGTTTTAGTACAACAGAGATCAAACATAAGTGTTACAGATTTGTGAATGACAGATTATAGCAGTATATTAAGTGGCAATCTGGTGTATTTGGAAAACACAATAATCCATTAGAGAATATGTACATGTATGTAAAAAATGCTTATTAGTATAGTGGTAATGGCGATGTGAATGGTTGTCATTTTAAGAGCATTGTGTAAATCAAATCTTCTTCATCTTCAAATCTCCTGTACTCATTGACATGTGCATGTGCATACACGTACAAACAGCAATGTTGGGAGTTTGAACTTGACTTTTTATACATGTCTTTCCACACAGCACCCCCCAGATTTACACGAACGCCAGAAGACCAAACAGGAGTCCAGGGTGGAGTGGCCTCCTTTGTGTGCCAGGCCACAGGGGACCCACAGCCCAAGATTGTCTGGAACAAGAAAGGCAAAAAAGTCAGCAACCAGAGATTTGAGGTATGATGATGAGACACTAATGTATGTGTATTGTACTTCTTCTCATGTGGAAATGCTTTAAGCTGAAATGGGAATGGGTTACCATCCCAAAATGGAGCTAGAGCCCCCTCCAAAAGTATTGGAACGGTAAGGCAAATTCTTTTGTTTTTGTTGTTCACTGAAGACATCTGGTTTAAGATCAAAAGATGAGTATGAGACAAGAGTTCAGGATTTCAGCTCTCATTTCCTGGTATTCACATCTAGATGTGTTAAACAACTCAGGACATATCACCCTTTGTTTGAACCCACCCATTTGTCAAGTGAGCAAAACTATTGGAACATGTGACTGACAGATGTTTCTTGTTGCCCAGGTGTTGCCTTTTAGGTTGATTGTCCAAACATTAAATAGCTCTGCATGACTAGTCTAAGTTTTCATCCTTGGTTCAAACCTATAAAGACATTTGCTGTTAAAGAGGATAAACCAACATGAAGACCACAGAGCTGTCTATGGGAGAAAAGCAAGCCATTGTCAAGCTGAAAAAAGACGACCAGAGCCATTGGACAATCATTGGGTATAGCAAGCACAACAATATGGAATGTCCTGAAAAAGAAAGAAACTACTGGTGTACTGAGCAACAGACGTTGAACAGGTCGGCCAAGGAAAACAACAATAGTTGATGACAGAAATATCGTGAGAGCTGTGAAGAAACCCCCAAAACATCAGTAAGTGACATCACCAATGACCTCCACAGTGCAGGGATGAAGGTATCACAATCCACTGCTCGAAGAAGCCTCAGAGAGCTGAAATATAGAGGCCACACCACAAGATGCAAACCACTCATCAGCAGGAAGAATCGGTAAAAGCCTGGAATAGCATCACAAATGAAGAATGCAACAGTTTGGTGATGTCGATGGGTCGCAGGCTTGAGGCAGTTATTGCAAGCAAGGGTTATGCCACCAAATATTAAATGTTATTTACTTTAAGATTATTTGTTCCATTACTTTTGCTCACCTAAAGTTGATGATACACGGAGCAACTTTTAGAGCAATGGTGCTGGGCAATGTTGCCGTCAATGGTAATGAGTAAAGATTACTACCATAATCCCCTTTCCCCACCACTCCATCCGCCCCACACCGCCGCCAGCTGTTCAAAACATAGTCGGACCTGCCACTAGCAAGATTGCCCAGCAACATTGCTCAAAAAGTTGCCCCGTGTATCATCAGCTTAAGAATGCTGTGATCTAATACAATATGTGATATGTTCTGAGTTGTTTAACACATCTAGATGTGAATACCAGGAAATGAGAGCTGAAATTCTGAACTCTTGTCTCATACTCATCTTTTGATCTTAAACCCAAATGTCTTCAGTGAACAACAATAATAATAATAATGGCAGCTGAGCTGACACCGCTAGTGGACTTAATTATTAGTATATCAACAGAAAAACAATTGGCAATTGTTCTGTTAATCAATTAATTGTTTAAAGGGATAGTTTTGGGAAACATGGTTATGCTTTCTTGCCATGAGTTCGATGAGGAGATCAGTACTGCTACTCATGTCTGTCCATTAAATATGAAGGTAGTGCCAGTTAGCTTAGCCTAGCAAAAAGGGGTAAACGGCTAGCACATAGCCCCCACATAAAACTGCAACGTAAGTGAACTTCAACTTCTCCCTACTCTGCCAGTGGAGCTTGTGGTCACCCTAATCCTAATGTGATAATAAAATCACATTAGATTAGAAAAAATCTTTTTGTATTAGACTTTTTATAGGCCAAACAGTTATTGATTAATCAAGAAAATACTGCAGATTAATGAATAATGAAAATAATTATTAGTGGAAAGATTAAATGGCTACCTTACATTTAGGTTCACCAGATTCAGAGCCCTGGTATTGTGCATGCTGACTCACTCGAAGTGCCTAAATGGAACAGGGCCATCATTAATGTTGTTAGTTACACCTGTGTTTTTCCTTTGATGACAAGGGCCCACTGTGAGAAAAGTGTATTGCTGGTACTGTATTACAATGAAAGTTGACATTTAAGTCAATAATTTGTGTTGTGTTGTGTTTTGTTTTTATTAAATTTTTTTTCATCAGTGTATACTGTACAAAAAGATAAAAAAAAATAAAATATATATATTTATTTTATTTTTATTTTTTTCTGGTAATACATGGATACCAGTTAGCATAGAAAGCCAAAATTGTACTGTTAAAGATTTTATCAGTTTACCTACTTTTCTTCATTTGTAGTCCAAAGGTTATACAATGTGTGAAATGCTATCTGCCCCAACTACTTCAAATGTCAGATGATGCCTTGGGTTACAGTATATGAGATTCTTATATGATCAGCCTTATTAGTTTCCCAAAGGCTCTAACCTTTGATTTATTTCTTCACCTCACAAGTCACTATTAGATGGAGATGTTGAACCAGCCTCTCTCCTCCCCAGTCAGTGTCACCCTGAGCTCTGGGTGTTTTTCTACTTTAATAAGTCGAGTTTCCTCCTAGGTTCAAGTTCATCTTGGTCTCTTCCTGTTTGTGATTAAATCACTTGGGGAGATATTTTATTTTTAATCCACCCTATAGAAGCTCAGCCTACCTGCTGTATATTTCTCTTTTCTGTCCTGTCGGTCGGGAGTTGATGTGGGATTTCTTTTTATTAGATTTCAGTCAGCGGAACCTTTCTCAGAATTCAGGATCCAGATCTATTACATGCATGTATTAACCTCATGCAAGCGCATTTAAAATCTACAATCCAGTATTTCAGATAAACGTATTCTGTTACCTACCCTGAATATCAAAATGACATGAGAGATAAGGACAATTGTATTCTTAACTAACTCTGCTCTCCATTCTTTCCATTCAATCCCAAATTACTTTTAATCAGTGCACTGCTACCTCAATTATAATGTGTGCAGTGATTGATCCTAGACTGTGGATCTACTGTACGTAAGACCTGACTATTCCTCTCAGACTTCACAGGCTGTCCCCTCATCTTCTCTCAGCAAATAAAACACTAGGAAGAGGCCTGTTAATCATTGAATTGCAAACAAAATTAAAGGTGACATTAACACCAAACTGCAACACCAGTCAGGGTCAAATGCTTCAGCTGAACATTTAAATTATCTGTAGCACAGTGCATTTTTTTTATAAGATAAAGCTTGATGATTTCGTTAAACCCGCAAGAGCTGATTATTTGGCCACTTGGGGTCAGCAGAAACAAGATGTAAACATTGGCATATTAGTTGCGTTCAACTTAATGCAGCGCTGTACGGTGCTGACTTAACGTGACGCATGCTTAACTCAACATAAGACATATTGGTTAGAAATTGTGTCAGACAGCACTGCAAAACGCAATGTCACACCTCGCGGGAGCAAGGCGGCAGCAGTTGCTCAGTCCAGTGACCGCAGTTGCTTTTCTCCGGCTATAGAAAGTTGGAACCACCTTTGAAAGTTATTGTTCTAAACTCACAGTAAGCTCACGCAGGTAGAAAGTGTCCAACTTGACGGCAGTGTTGTTATAATTTTAATGTGTTTTTGACCACCTGACAGTGGGTTGTTTTTTAGCTTTAAAAAAGCTGCTGCTGCCACAAACGACCAAGCGATAAGAGTGAACCAAAACGGTGAAGTTGTAGGCTGTAAAACCAAAACGGTGAAGTTGTAGGCTGTAAAACCAAAACAGTGAGCTTTAATTCTCTGTAGGTTTGACACTTTTCAGTTTACGCATTTTGATCCATTGTTAAATTTAAACCCTCTTCCCTCTAACAGGTAATAGAATTTGACGACGGGTCCGGCTCGGTCCTGAGGATCCAGCCACTGAGGACTCCCAGAGACGAGGCTATTTACGAATGTCATGCCTCCAACTCTGCAGGAGAAATCACTGCCTCCACCAGACTAAGTGTGCTACGAGGTAAGTGTGAACACACATGCAAGCCACTGTATGTTTCCATACAGCTTGCTGTGAAGAAATTTTCAAATCATAATACCTAGAAGCCACATGAAAAATAACTGACAAAGCAGACACATTTTATTGGTTCTTATATGTAATAACATTCCTGTAATTTGATGTTTGCATCCAGAAGGAATACTGAATAAGTAGAGGAGTTTACCATCAACTGACATAAATTCTGATTGTAAAGTTTAAAGGATATCCTTATATAGATAGAGGTTCTTTAGTTTAAGATTATAACTGTAGGTGGGGATCTTATCACTGGTTGGAGTACACTGAGGTATAATCAAAGTCAAAATCAGGTTTCGTTGAGTCAAATTTGTGATATTTTTCTTGTGACTTAAAAGCTATTTATGCAGAAGAATTTGAGGCTTGGAGGGATGTGTCCTTAGATATATATTCAAGTGTATGCCTGGGTCCACTGCTGTAGATGGTTTTGTTAGTGTAAGCAAGAGTCCATTAATGCAGATAGTGATGTTAGTGTTAGTGGAGTCCATTAGGAGAACATTATGTACGGGTAGTTTGAAGCTCAAGAGTGTCTTAGTGAGTGAAGCTGCTCGAGTGTGGATAATCACATCGCCTGCCTTTACACGACATGCTCGTGGGGAAAGGATGTGCTGCCTATTGTTCTACCATCTCATTTCTCTCTCTCTCTCTCTCGCTCTCTTGTCTCTCTGAGGGGTAATAACATAGTCTACGGTCCTTCCTCTCCACTCTCTTCTCTTTCTGTCTCGTCTGTCTGTGTTTTTTGTCTCCCCAAGTTCATTCCTTGTTACTTTCTCTTTCACTTTCTGCCTTTACTCTCTCTCTCTCTCTCTCTCTCTCTCTCTCTCTCTCTCTCGCTCTATCTCTCCTCTCGCTCTGTCTCCATATGCTCTTAGGTCCACTACACAGCAACCTCTAAATTATTCACATCAGACCACTCTTTGCATCTTCTGTGCTGTTCCGCTCCATCCACCCAGAATTTTTCCTGTCTCCCAAGGTTGTCTTTCTCCCGTGTGTGTGTGTGTGTGTGTGTACGTGTGTGTGTGTGTGTGTGTGTGTGTGTGTGTGTGTGTGTGAGAGTGTGTGCCGGCCTGCTCAGTTGCGCGTGTACATCCGTATGTGCTCTTGCTTATGTGTCTCTGCCTCTATTTTTGATTCACCAAGAACATAACCACTCATGCACACACAGGCAAACGCACACACAAACGAATCCTCAATCTAAGACAGTCAGTCTTTATGTAGTGATTAGCCTCTTGCTACTCCTCTGAGGAGTCATTGTGTTGCGGATGAATAAGAGGCCACCTGGGAGCAGCTAATAGCCCCTGATAGACTGTCAGTTCAAATGTCAGTCACAAAAATACCCACACACACACACACGTGTGCGCACAAACACAAACACATGCACTTGTCAGTCCTGTCTCCTTGTCTCCCCTGGCTCTGTAAAGACACAGCTCCAATGACTGACTGACTGACTGACTGACCGTCTGACAGGAGAGATCCGATGTTAAGGTCAGCCGGCTTAATTACTGAGGATCAGAACCAGTCTTATTGAAATCTTGGCTTCCAGTAAGTGGCTGTGATTGGCAATGGCTGAAAAAATAATGAACTTCAGAGCAATTATATGTTTTGGGATCCAGCGTACAGTCAGATACTGTATAATTCTTGTTTTGGTCAAAGTTGAGTGTGTCTGTTTGAATTCATCCAATTGAGTCTTGGACAAAGTATTTTGGTCCAAAAATTGAAGTTATAGAGTTCTAATTAATATCCATTCGTAAATTTATATTAAAGAACAATTGTATTTTTCTGCAGCTGCCATCATACAAAATCAATACTTGCTAAGATCTTGGAACATGGCAACGTTGCACACTCTAGTCTGATGAGGCAAGAAACACGAGCGGTCAGTTCCTAGACCACTTTATTTGGTGGTAAAACTGAAAGTGAGTGCAGTATAAATATTGATGATGTAAGTGGGATAGGTCAACGTTTAACCACCATGTGGGTCTTTTTGTGGGGAAACCCATGGTTAGGTGTACCTCACATTTGGTCTGCCTTCATATACACACAATGCAGCTGTGACAAAAGATTGTGCATCATACAAAACTTCCAACTTTACAAACCAAACCAGAGTTGAATTAACACTACTCTGGAACAATCTTAACAAATATTGTAAGAATCATAAGTATTGCAGCAGTAGAGGGCTGTTGTTGTATTTGATTGCAATGTGTTAAATCGGTGTTAATGTTACTGCAGCCATCACTTAATGTTGTTTATCCCCTGAGTCAGTTGTAAATGACAGAAACAGGTTTATTTGCAGGTGCAGATTTTACACTTGGGCTTCTGATACAGCAGGCAGTTCATGCTTTAGTTCCCATGATTCTAAGACCAGACTGGATTTGCAGTCTTCCAGGATTTACAGATGACAAACCCAGTGAGCGATGTGTGCGGATTTATTTGGGGTTTTATATAAAGAGGGCAGTGTTCGCACAGCAGTTCCCATGATTGTGAGACCGGGGTTTTCTATGAGCTGTGAAATCATCTGGATCTGTCACAGTGGAAACACTGAAGTGGGAGCACATCCAAGGGAAACAGTGGGACGTGTGGAAGGCTCCATCAACAAGGGAGTGTAGGGTTACGCATCTGCTCTGACCTCAGGGGGTTCTTAACTGTTCAGCAGCACGCGCATACACACACATACACAGTGGAGCAGCTTTCCCAAACACACTTTGGTGTTGCTTACACCTGTCCCCATGATGAATGGTCGAGAGCTGGTTATGTGCATGTGTTAACGCGCGTGTATTCAACTTATATCACTTCACATCTTCTCAGCTTTAAATATAAAAAAAAGCTTTTGCCTTCTTTTTATCTCCACAAGAAGGCGCATGTGTGTGGGTGTGTGTGTTTTCGTCTAGTATGCGTGCATACCTGTGCTTGTGTTTGCCTACGTTTGCAGGTTCTTGCACACACTTCTGCCTACAAATATCTGCAACTCTGTTGTTTTTTGTGCACTCGTGAGTGGTTATAGAAGAGGTGCGGAGAGATGCATGATCTCAGGGAGTAGCATACTAACGGGGCGTCCTCAGTGCTCGGTGCAGTGTCCCATTCCAGGTAGATGAAATAGAATGTATTATTCCTGCCTATGAGGGCCTGGCTTTGAAGTAAGCATTTGCATAATGAAAGCGGAGAGAATCAGGATTGTTATGCTATATGGGTCCCTTCTGCTCCCTCTCCCTTTATGTCTGTTTTTCTCTTGCTACCTCCCTTGTTCTCGCTTGGTTTTCCTTTCTGTCACTCTTTCTTTGTCTAACTCTATTCCATTCTATTTCATTCTTCCTTTTTTTTTTTGCACTTTGCCCTTTTTCACCCCCCGCCCACACACACAATACTTGTACACACAAACACCTTCTCATCTTGTTCCTTTGGTTTATTATGTCCATGTTTCCATTTGTCAGGCTTTGTGATTGATTGAAACAGGAGATGTTAAAAGGCCACACACGCACTCGCAAAGCTAGTGTCTCACGACCCGTCAGCTACGGTTCGATGGACTAGTACCAGAATTAGCATCTACTTGGCGAGTTTCAGTGCTAGGGTTTCCCGTTAATGAGGCTCTGTGTAGTTGAGAGGGATAAAGTCACGAGGGATTCTGGGGGGAAAAAACATGGGGGAAAAATTAAAATAGACTGTCTTATAGATCAAATACAGTGCAAACGCAGGTGCACGCTCTTTGCTTATCTTTCTTTTTTCACCATGTCTTTATCCACTTTATTATGGATGATTCATGACATCGCAGTTTCAAAGTGCAGCCTTGTACAAAGTTAAGGATTTGTTTTTTAAAAACTGATTTTCTCTGAACCTGTTTGATTCCCTGGCTGAATACAGTATCTTTTCAGTTTGACTGAGCTCAAGCGTCTTTGATCCCCCCATCTCCTCGAAGCATTGTCCCCTCCTCTCCCTTAAATCTCCCACTTCAGTTGAATGAAGTTGGCCCACTGCCTTTGATTTCCTTTATCACAGTGGAATAACTCTTCATGTTTGATTTAATTGCCTAGGTTGTCTATGAATTCACATTTGATTTGCCATCCCAAAAGGGTGCTAGTCCCAGTGGATGTGTCTTTATTTGACTCGCCTATTTGATTCATGCAAGGGGGGTGAACTTCCAGAGAGGGTTGTGTGTACTAGACTGAGCTGGACTGAAAGTATAGCTCAACTGCTACTGATTCCCAGTAGAAGAGAGAGTATTTGATTTCCAATTGATTCCTATTCGAAGAGCTGTTGCCAAAAGCTTTAGTAAAGTGGAATGAAATGTTTCTTATTCTGTTGGACCTCACTATTGGATTCTTCAAAAATCTTCCCCCCGGGCTCAAGTCTGAAAACATATTTTGACTCTATATTGAATCAAAATTTGACTTTTGCATTTGACCAGACAGTTTCCCTTAAATCCTTTTTACGCTGGACCCAACATGCATGGTGTCAATTCAGGGCTTAAGCTGTGTATGTGAGGCATCATGTTTTGTCTTATATTGAAACACAGACTATCTGCTTTAGGTATGTGTCAAATGCACAACATTTTGGGAAATACGACTAGCCTTTGTCTAAAGGTAATGAGATCCACCTACCAGCCCCTATACATCTCACAAATTATGCAAAACTATCTGGAAACACTAATCACATGAATAATTAGTAGCTGGAAAACTGACAAAAGGAAAAAATAATGCAAGTAATATCAGGAATGGTTTTTGTCATGACAAGGTGATGTTATATATTCTACTGTAAAAGCTGGTAGGACATTTACAAGGCTTTGTTTGAAATTCCCCTGAGGACGTAGCTGAACACGATAATATTTCCGATATAACTATATATCAATATACTGTCCTACTTTATCCTGTGTGGAAGGCAATACTTACTAACCCTCATACATGTAGATGTCCTGTTGGCTTATACAGAGAAGTAATACAATGCCAGTGATTCCCAACCAGGGGTACTTGTGCCTCAGGGGGTACTTCAGTTACATACACTGAGTTGTCAGTTTATTAGATACACCAAGCTAAATCTAATGCAGTCTAATACAAGAACCTGACAACCCCTGCTACCATCAAGAAGGTTATATTGTTCACTTTATGTTGTTCATCTGTTTTAGAGGTGTTTATTGAAATGTGTGGTGTATACAAATATGTATATTTGTGTTTAGCAGGGAGATACACAAACGATTTAAAACTTGTGTAGTGATGTATATGTTTAACTAACAATAACCAACTTTAGTATTTTTTTTAGTATTTTTATTTCATACTTAGAGGCCTCCCACCAACCTGAGTCAGTTATGAGACCTGAAACACATGCTGTGATTGAGAGTTTGTGAAAAACTGTGAGGAAAAATGTGCAGAGAAGTCAAAATAGAAAGTTAAAAGTGCTGGAGAAATTGTTAAATACCTAGTGTCTGCTCTAGTAGTAGTATAAATGTGGACTTAACCAAACCCACTGAAAAAGGCAACAAAGCCAACAACTACTTTTATAAATTGAATAGTGTTAACACATTTGAAACATGCTGGGCAATGAGGATGAAGGTGTGTTTGAGCTCATCTGTTAGGACTGTGGGGATTTCGTCAGACACAAAAGGTTGGGAACCACAGCGCCAGGCTACCAAGCTGAACGTGTGAATAATGTCCAGCTCTGTTTGACTTATTTGATCTTTCCAGAAGACCAGTTGCCCTCGGGGTTCCCCACCATAGATATGGGTCCCCAGCTGAAAGTGGTGGAGCGTTCTCGGACCGCTACCATGCTCTGTGCCGCTAGCGGCAACCCTGACCCAGAAATTACCTGGTTCAAGGATTTCCTGCCAGTCAATACATCCAGTAACAACGGACGAATCAAGCAGCTCCGCTCAGGTAACCAATGCTTTTATCCCCCCATTCTTTCCCTTCCCTTCAATCCCAGCTTTTTATTTCCACATTAAGTTTTTTTTCCCTCCCACTTTGCTTTTATCCCTCTTTCAATATCCACTCCATCTTATCCTCCCTCCGCCCACCCCCCCAACCCATTTTTTATTTTCTGTTTCTTCAAAGCTTCTGTTATTCTTGCCCTCGTTCACCCCTTTTCTTATTGCTGCTCCGCACTCCTCCTGCCGTGGTTACTGGCTGTGTTTCTCAGCTGCCCCTCTCTGCTGCTGCTGTGGTTTGAGTTGACTGTGTGTGGTTGCCAGCTTTTCTAAACTCTTCAAGGCCTTAAAAAGTGAACTCCCAACGTTTCTACACTTTTCTCCAAACTCTCCGAGGTCTTCCCGTGCAAATCACCATCACGAAAGGGTTTAATTTTTCACTTAGTTAAAACATTATGAAATATCTGTAACAACAAGAGCATTGGTGCGCAACATGTCCCTAGTCACAGCTCAACACATTTCTTTACAGACAGAATTTGCAAGGTAAACCCAGGCGATGGTGGCATGCACTGAGGGAATGGCCTCTCAAAGACGGCTCACTGCTGTGACTAAACAATCAAACAACCAAAAACAATTGTTTTTCCTCATTTCATGGAAAGTGTGTCTTTGCGTGGGTGTGAAATTGACTCACAGACATTGCATCCATGTTAATTGAGAAAATACATTCACACAATTTGTGAAACTCATAAACAGATTACTTGGAAGAACACACACAGAACAAATTCGTTTCCTGTCAAGCCCCTCAATCCATCTCAATCAGCGTTCCAATAGCCACAGTAGTGTGTAAAATCCCAAACAGTCGAAGCAAAGTCCCCTCCCTCCTCAGTCCTCCTTCTGCCTCCAGGGACCAACTCTGGACCCAAAATCCCTTTCTTGTGATTAGACACCCAACTTTCTGGCTTCTTTATTTGATAACAACCTCTTTGCTTCTGTCCCCGTCTTTGGCTCAACCCTCAACTTCCTGCTTAGACTCCCTTTTTGATCTTTTTTTTTTTACAGAAAAAAGAAAAAGAAATTGAAAGGATTTACAAAATTGTTAGGCCTACATCTTAAAATGTCAGATATTTGGTATGTTAGCCTTGCTTCTTCTATGTGATGATTAAAAAATAGTTTACTTTTATGATTCTTTTAAGTTCTGTGTAGATGATCGATATCCATGACTTTTTTGGGGGGTTCCAGTGCTTTTTCAAGGTGTTTCTACTGAGTCAACTCCTCTGTGTAACCAATTGTCCGATTGTAATGCCATGTCTATGCTGTTTCTTTTCTCTTTGTATCTTTTTAACCACAGAGTCCTTTGGTAAGTGCTTCTGTTCCGAGGCCCACACCCTCAATGTTCACTAATGTTTCTACTGTTGCTGCTGCTGCTCACTTTTACAATGTTGAGGTGTTATTAAAATGCATGGCATGCATTTTACTAACAGTCACATGCAAAGATAATATAAAGCATAGATGCACACACACACACACACACACAGAAATACTCACAAGTCTGCAGGCACCCATGCATCATTTTGGTTAAAGAAGCATACTATAGATGATACAAAATGGCAATATACACACACATAGAATGAATACACATGTACAAACACACATATCTCTGTCACCCTAGAGATAGTTGGCCTCACCCTCACCTGTGCACCTGCAGCCTTTCCACACCCAAAGAATTACAATAACTTTCTCCTCACACTCACCTATTTAATTTTCCACTCCTTCACTTATTAAATTATTCTTTCCCTCACTCACTTCGTCATTCACTCACCCACTTATACTCTCTCCACTCTGCTGTATAGAGTTACCATTCAATAAACCATCAACTCTAGATGGCAAGGCCTCTGGTGGAGCCACTGTAAGGAAATCAATGGCAACCAGGTTTCAGACTACTAGACGTTGACTGTACAGCGTAGTATGTATTTGTTACATCTGGATACTACTGCTTAGAGTTAGTGAATTGGTCATGGACACGTGCAATTTTTAACATCACCATAACAGAGTAAGAAAAGTTAAGTACTTAAAGACTTAAAGAAAAATCCACCCTCCCATACTTTGCTTTAATTTCCACGTCTTTGTTTATATTAACTTTAGTCAGTGAAGTCCTTAGGGACTGTTTGTTGAACAAAACGAGCAATTTGAAGAGGTAACTTTTGGTTTCTGGGACATTTTTGATTAAATGATTAATTGATTAGTCAAGAAAAAAACTTTGCAGATGAATCAGTAATTAAAATAATTGTTAGTTGCAGCCCTACACCTCTTATGGTAAACACAACATTTCGTGTGGCTGCCCTGCAGTCTGGCCTCTTTGACGCCAGGCTTCTCACAGAGTGATTGTTGATGGTCGCTTTGAGAGACTGAGTCTACCAACACACCCCTGTTTGTTCATTCTGAGGGACTGAGACATGAACTTGACATTTATTGCTGATGTTTTATGTTGTCGAAAATGTCCCTGCTGGAGGGATTTAGACCTCCTATTGTCTACGTTTTGCCAGGTAGATTTGCTGAGAGATTTAGAAAAAAATGCCAAACAACAAAAAAAATAGATAAATGATGTAGGGACAATGCCAAGTACTGGAGGATGTATTTTTCATTTAGGACATAAAATATATTTACACACACACCATAGTACCAGAAGGATTACACCTGGTTTTGATCCATGTGGAGGACAAGTGCAGGTTAAGACTCAAAGCAGTGAAGTATACTACACTTAGAGATCTCTTAAGAGACCTAGATGAGTCTACTGCAGACACTACCCTACTCCTACAGCCACATCTGCCCCTGCTGCAAGTCAATGAAGTCAAATCAATAACCCATCTCCCTAAAGCTCTGTCACAGTCTGTCACTCTGCCTATCTAGCATCTGCCTTTCTCTTCTCAGGCTTATTCTGTCTTTATTTATTCTGTCTTTTTCTTTTATGCCTCTCTCTTTCTCTCACTCTCTAAGGATCTATAATTTGAGTCTTTCTCTCTAATTTGATTCTGCTCCTTTCCAAGTTACCCACCCCCCCCCCCCAGTCCCTCCCTCCCTTATCCCCTTCTCCTCCTGTGGTACTAACATTTTCTTCTTCTTCTCCTTCTCTAATCTCGTGCATTCATTGCCCACTCAGGTGGCACGCCCATACGAGGTAAGACTGCTGGGAGGACCAACATGACACAGTGGCCTGATTCCTTTTCAACCCCTGGTTCCTACTTGTGTCACAGATCTGAAAAAGCAGCTCTGGGTGAATTCATCAATATGAGTGTACAGTCCAAAAGACTCAGGACGCCTTATTGGTAACACTCATCCAGCTGCTTCAGATCTGCAGTAGGTGCAAGAGGAGGGAATTGGAATTGAGCAAGCAATTCATTATACTATGACTTTTAATCACCTCCCCACTTCTCGTCTTTCATCCTCTCTTCATCCTTTTATTCTTTCATGTCAGCCTCTGCGTTCGCTCTTTAACACATCGCTTTCTTCCTTGCCATATTGTGATCTCTCTTTTGTATCCATCTGTTTAACATCATGTAGCTTTTTACATCTACTTTCAGTCTAAAGCGTCATGTGTTTACAGCTTGTATTTATTTCTTTGTTGCTTAGTTGAGGTGACACAGCATCACTTTTACCTCTGTTTGTTTGCATTGTAATTGTTTTTGTGAGCGGATATTATTTCTTTTTCTTCTTTTTTTAAAACTTTTTTTTGGGTCTTGACCTAAGCTTGACCCAGCCTCTCCCCTTTCTACCTTGTCTATATTTGCCCAATCAAACGTCCCAGTTTTGTTTTCCCTCCCAGCTGTTATTCGCTCAGCCTGAAAAGTCCAGATGGCAAAGACTCAGACACACTTGCAGACGTTAGTGTGCTCACACACACAAACAGGCACACACATTTCTTCATGGTTTTTTACCATTCCTTCCCTCTTACTTTCTTTGTCATCGCTGATAAAAAGCCCCAAACAACCACTTTTTTGATAAAGTTTTTATGGGCGCTTTTTTGCCTTACCACACCATCTTTAAAGAACTTCTGGTTGACTTTTTTGACAGTTTTTCTATTTTCAGGGAGCGAGAAAGCATCGGTCCCTTCCCAAGGCTTTGCGTATGTCGTTCCTTTTTTTTTAAATCTGTTGGCCTTGATGGAGGTCGGTTGATGATTTTTACCTCCTTATTGGGTGTGTTTTAAAATGACATCACACTCCTGATCCCATTGGTGGATCTGAAAGGGTTGGGGGGGGGGGGATATCTTATTGCCATGGCAGCATCTTTGTAACATTTTATCCTTGAAGACTGAAAAATGATATGCTCCCTAATGTAACTACATCTTAATTTTCAGCAAAGAATTTTCAAAATACTGCATTTGTGACTGGATTTCTCCGCATTTTGGTTGATTTGTTTCTGCCTTGCATGAAGACAACATTCTCCGTTTTTTGTAGGCTTTGTATAAGTGCTTTTTTTTGTTTGTTTTTGTTTCCTTCCCATTTCTAAATCAGGAAGCTGACCCTTGTTTTGGGCAAATTTTTTGCTGACAGTGGTAGAAACGTGTTGATTTCTCCCTATAGATTTGGCTCCCTTTGTAGCCTTGTGTTCTTCATACAGATCTCAGCTTGTTTTCGCTGAAAACTCTCTTTTATTCATTTACTGTTTATGCAGTTCTTACCATTTCTATGTTGATGTATTTATAGAAAATACCCAATTATCTGACGTCTTCCACATTTGTGTAATTGTTCTTTCTTCCTCACTATCTTTCTGTGTGACTCTCTCTCCTCTCCTGTCTTCTACTTCTCCTGTCCATCTCTCCATCCATCTAGGTGCTCTCCAGATAGAGATGAGTGAGGAGTCAGACCAGGGGAAGTATGAATGCGTTGCGACCAACAGTGATGGGACACGCTATTCCACCCCAGCGAACCTCTATGTTAGAGGTAAGATTGGGGCAAAAAAAACAGCCTCTCCTGTGAGAACCAGAGTCCAATTAGAGCACTTAGATTTAAGGATCACGTTTATAATGGATGTGTAGATTGGGACATCTATTCCTAGAAGATATTCATACGTTTTTTGGGTTTCTTTTTAACATAGACAGCTTCTGCTAGGAATGTGCGTTTATCATATTAATGTGATGTGGTGCTATGAAACTTGCTGTGTTTTAGAATTCTTTGCTGTAGAGCCATAAAACAGAATGGGTTTTAAAACGAGAGTTCCTTTACATCAGTTAAGGCTGAATGTTTCACTCAGGCTATTAATCTCTCTGCCCTCCCTTCTTAGCCTTTAGACCTCAGAGAAAAACCAAATCATTGTCTGGTTAAGACTTGTGTTTCTCCCCCAAATCTGACAGGCATCTCACCTCCTCAGGCACTGTCTTATTCAACACGCACAGATCCACACACATACCCGCCAAACGTTTGAAATCTTGGAGACATTTTTATTCCCGTGGCCTTTTGCTCTGTTGTCTGCTCGCCCAAAAAAATATATAAATAAATAAAGGCTTTAAACAGCGTAACGTGCTTTTCTGACTCCTACATCGCTCCCAGGGATACGGAACAAACACACACGCACGACCAAATGCACACACATAAACACACACCTATGTCCTACACTAAAACTATATAAACACATATGCACCCACACACAGACACACACAAACAGCACAGAGTCAGTGATGTGCGTCTAACAGTGCTTGCAGGGCCAGTAAAATCTTGCAGTGCTGCTCAGTGAGTGTTTGACAGGCGGTCTATGGAGACAGCCAACAGTGGAGGCTGCCTTCAACAGGAAGGCTTTCACCAGCACACTGGCCATCTATGGCCTCTGTTTTCTCTCCTTACTATCCTCTTTTTTTTTCTTTCTTTCTTCCTTTTTCTCTTTGACTCCCCTCTCTGTCTGTTGTCACCTTGCCATGCTCCTTTGTCTAACTTGTTTTCTCTCTGTGTCTCCTGTCTCTTCTCTGATATTTTCTGTTTTCCTCTCCTTTCTCTCCTCCTCCCGCCGTGCTCTGTCGTACCTCCCTCTGCAGAGCTGCGAGAAGGTTGGTACAGTACTGTGTGTCTCTTTTGAGTCTCTCCCCAGTATTTTCTTTTCTTCCATTAAACTGCTATTTGTGTTTGTGTGTCTCGGCTGTTTTATGTGCAGTACTGAAGGTTTAAACCTGCCTGTACAGTTTACTCTTTAGAGATATACTGTACCTTGCTTCCTTTTTTTCCCTCTTTTATTCCCTGTAAGTGCATGTGTGTTTGCTGTGAAGTTTTTGTGTGTGTGTGTGTGTGTGTGTGTGTGTGTGAGTATCTTTTGTGTTTTACTTCATAAAATATTTAATGGAACACACCTAAAAACAGCATGAATAAAACATTTTGATTTCACATGCGGATAGTGGTGATGTACAAGACTGTCTGAATGCTTGCAGTCTTCTTTGAATGCCATAAAACATAATTTCAGAGTACACGGAACAACAACCAAAATGATGATCATACTATATAGTGTATAGACCCTGGTTGTCGTTCACTGTTCTGCACTTTAGTGAACAACTCAGAGATGAATTTCTAATCACCTCTCTACTCTTCACGCTTTCATTGCTATCTGGTCCAGTGCGTCGTGTCCCCCCTCGCTTCTCCATCCCCCCAGCGGACAGCGAGATCATGCCAGGGGGCAACGTCAACATCACCTGTGTGGCAGTAGGCTCCCCTATGCCGTATGTGAAGTGGATGCTGGGAGCAGAGGACCTGACGCCCGAGGATGACATGCCCATCGGGCGCAACGTCCTGGAACTGACTGACGTACGTCAGTCCAACAATTACACGTGTGTCGCTATGTCAACGCTTGGTGTGATTGAGGCGGTGGCACAGATTATTGTGAAAGGTAGGTTTATTAGCCTCTATATGAGGAGGCTTATGGGTGAGGAGAAAAGAGCATGTGATTAAGAGGGGGAAGTGATGGTTTGACCTTGCCCCTGGTGAGACTTTGCTTCTGACTTTATTTAAAAGAGTATTTTTAGGAGGACAAAACCACAGCATGGCCTTCTTCACTTGGAATGAGTGTAGTACACTAAAAAGAAAATTTACAGCATAAAAGATATATGAGATAAGAAGTAAAGTTTGTACAGTTTGTATGTACATATGTATTATTGTAATATGTTTCATTGTATTAAAGTATGTGAAAATTACACATAATATTGATTAAATATGGTCTATATAAATCCTTGAAGTGATAAGAACTTTTAACAAACTAATTATATTTGTTTAGTCCAATTAAGTTTATATTTTTTTTTTTTTTTTTTTTTCATTCCATTGTATAGTTCTAGGATACTGAGTCTATCAGATGATTTCTTAACTATAAAGGGATAGTGTGTAAGATCTCTCTCTCTCTTTTGTGTCTCAGCTTTGCCAAAGGCTCCTGGTATCCCTGTGGTGACAGAGAGAACTGCAACAAGCATTACACTCACCTGGGACTCTGGCAACCCTGAGCCTGTCTCCTACTATATCATACAGGTGTGTAACAGAGCTATTGCATGTGCACACAGATCTTAAGAGCTGCTGTAGAGTTTTATATGGACATAAACCGTTATTAACTGCCTAAATCAGTAAGTAGGGCTGCAAAAGAATATGTGCATTGTCTCTCCTGATAGTCATAAAATCACCTCAAATTGCTCAAATGAAATCTGATGTTCTGTTTTATGAGTATTCTCTGACCATGAGGACTAATGAATTGAAATGTTAAGAATGAAACAGAAACTGCTGCACTGAAGCAATGATTCAGTACTCCATTCACAAAAAGCAGGACACCTACACCTACCTGTAGTATCTCTATAAATCTGGTGGTTATTATTGTGTATTGATATATATTGTGTGTTTGTATGTACACATATATGTAGATAGAGCTATACGTAGAGTTTTCTCTGTATAAATTTGTCTTTAAATCAGCATATTCTTTCTCTCTTATTCATATTCTCTCTTGCCTCTTCCTGTCCTGCTTCCTCCAGCACCGTGCCAAAGGGTCAGAGGACCCCTACAAAGAGATTGATGGCATCGCCACAACGCGCTACAGTGTGGGTGGCCTCAGCCCATACTCCCACTATGACTTTCGGGTAGCAGCCGTTAACACCATTGGCCAGGGCCCCTCCAGCGAGGTGGTGGAGGCTCGGACAGCCGAGCAAGCCCCCTCCTCGCCCCCTCGACAGGTCAGGGTTTCACTGAATTGAGCAAATTCAAAAAATGCCATTTTCACAGTCATATTGCATCTATCATTTGGAATAAGCTATTTTGATCCTGTATGAAAAACAAGTTGACTTAAATTCTTAGCTGCAATTTCAATCTGTTGTTATTGGTTCTCATAGAATAACTTTACCTCAAGCTTGGTTGTTATGCAGTATTATTAGCTGCCTGTTATTCTGACTAAAACCTGCTCCAGTGTACAGTACATTTTATCCCAGGGCTGAAGTTATTCCTGTCTGCCGTGCAGGTCAGAGGTCGAATGCTGAGCACGACAACAGCAATTATCCACTGGGATGAACCAGAGGAACCTAACGGACAGGTGGTGGGCTACAGAGTCTACTACACCTCGGACAACACTCTGCCAGTCAACCAGGTGTGTACCTGCATTTGCTTGTTTTCGTTTACTTTTATTAATCACAAATAGACTGATAACTAGTCTGCATGTGTCTAATTACATGAGTGTTCATCTGTGTGTCTACTTGCAGTCATGCATTGTGTTTTGTGTACTTGTTTTGTGCAGTGGGAGAAGCAGATGGTGCGCAGCGCCAATTTCATCACCATCCAGGGTTTGACTCCCAACAAGACTTATTACATCAGAGTGCTGGCCTTCACATCTGTAGGAGACGGACCCTTGTCCCAGGACCTGCAGATTATAGCAAAGACTGGAGGTAAGAGACAGGAAGCAAGAGAGGGATGTCAGGCTTTGCTTGCTATAGATGCTACTGAAAACAAATGCTCTTATTATCTTCAAAAATAAAATAAAATATCTTAACGTGGTTAAACTAATCCTGTTTTCCTCAACTCTATAGTTCCATCCCAACCTTCAGAATTTAAGGGGGAGGCCAAGTCTGAGACCAGTATCTTGTTGTCCTGGGTAGCCCCACCCCAGGGTGGTCCCGACAACCAGATCACAGGATATGAACTGGTCTACCGACGAGCTGATGACACAGAGGAGGTAAGATAAGAGGGAGAGACAGATGGATTGGTAGCTGAGAGGACTGTTTTGCAAGACTAATACATTAATGGATGGTTGGATGGATGATAAGATTAAAGAACAGGTGTGTGAATAGAGGGATGGGTGGGCAAACACAAGATCAATTGATCTCAAAATCAGAAGTTAACTCTATATAGGGAATTTAAAGGATGCTCTTTTTGAAGACCCTGTGAAATAGTAAATACAGCCTTTTTTCTTTTCTTTTTCTCACAACCTGACGTCTTCCGCTGTCCCGTTGTCTTCATGTCCTTTCAGAAGAAAGTGAGCTTTGAGCCTACCACCTCGTACCTGTTAAATAACCTGAAGCCTTTCTCCACCTACACCTTCCAACTGGCTGCCAAGAGCAAGCATGGAATTGGGGCGTATACCAACGAGGTGTCCATCGACACGCCACAGACGCGTAGGTCCAACCACAAAAACTGCCGTGTGTGTGTGTGTGAGTGAGTATGGTGTGTGTGTGTGTGTGTGTGTGTGTGTGTGTGCATGAGAGAGAAACGTTTAAATTATGACAATGCAAAAATGAGAACTGAGACAAAAGTTGAACCACAAATTCAAGAAATGCCATCATACATTTGTATGTGATTGAGACATTTGGCTGTTTTCCTTTTGCATTGTCACAAAGGGGCCGTCATGAATCCAGACATTAACTGACCTCAGATTTGATATTTCAACAAATGTATCATTAAATAGCTAATTTATGATTCTCAGAACTTAACTCAGTCCATGGTATTTCATCAAATATAGTGCCAAACAGCTTATGGATAATTGACAGCAAAGTAACAATACTTAATTTGTTGGACACCAATCTGAGGTCTGTAAGAGAATCAGTAAAAACAAGGTAAGAAGCCAAAGGTTGCTAGATAGAGATGAGAACACCATCATGGATCACAGAGGCTTGGGTAGGCTGTAAGGACAAGTAAGTTGTGGGCAGGTATGTCTGTGTGTTAAAACTCTAGTCAGCGTTTTTGTGTCGCATCTCTTTTCAAGAGCCATTCACTTGTTTTCATTAATCAAACATTTCTACCAAACAGAAGTTGACACCCATCATTCAGTATCTTTGTTCAGCCATCTTGCTTTCTAGTCACAGGGTCATTTTTCGTAAGAGCTTCTGTTCTCCAGTGTTTTGTTTTCATTTTATGTTTCTTTGTCTTTTGTTCTCTGTCTCTCATCTGCTCAATTTCATCCCCGTTCCTTCACGGCAAACCTCATTACCTCACCTCTCTCCCCACCAATGACAACATGCACACACAACCAAATAACATTTACCCAAACAACACCTACTGTGCTTCCTCGAAAACTGGCCAATCAGTTCCTTCAGCACCTCCTCAGGACATCACATGCACCAGTCCTAGTTCTACCAGCGTCCTGGTAAGTTGGGCTCCACCTCCTCTGGAGTTTCAGAATGGCATCATTACAGGATACTCCATCCAGTACTCCACTACTGAGGGCAACAAGATGTCTAAAAGAATTGATGGAATTCCTCCGGAAAGTTCTCCGTATCTCCTGGAAAACCTAGAGAAATGGACTGAGTACGGCATAACAGTACGAGCGCAGACGGAAGCTGGGGATGGACCAGAAAGTTTACAGCTGCTTATCCGCACCGAGGAAGATGGTATGTTCCCAAACAAACCCCTCTGCCTGTCTTAGGATGGTCCGCCCCACTAACAATGGCTACCTCACTAACATAGCACTAATGAGCTCAAAGCACCTTAAACTAACAAGTTTTCGAGCTGCAATCTAAACGGATGATGCATTTAAGAACCACTGTCAGAACCTCTCCTTTATTCCTCCATAACCACCAGAAACTTCCAACTTCCGGATATCTCCTCCTGCCTCTCCCTCACCACTGCTTTCTCTTGTCAACAGCAACCCTTTTTTCTCCAGCAGCCGTTTGTATCCTCTTTTTTTACCAGCATCTTTTTTCCACACTCTACCCTGTCTTCTAAAATCCCCTCTTTTTTGGGAAAAGGGATGGCTGGGATTTGCCACTATATTGTCTACTAACAATACCAGAACAAACACTTTTATTTGGCTGTAGCTGTACCTTGGCCTTTCCACACCTTTCCACCTTTTCTCACTCACCTACTGCCCTTCCAACTCCTCTCCAGTTCATAGACAATTATTTGAACATCTTTAAGCTAACTTTAATTGATGCATTTTATTGTGACTTGGGTAATTTGTAATATTTTCTGCAATATTCATGCTTGATATCCCATACTCCAAATTTCTTCGCTATGAAGTTTTCTGACTTCAGCTTTCTTCAGAGTGCTTATGCGTCAGTCAGTCAGATAGCAAGAGGTGGCTGGAGTTTTTCCCTTTGAGTCTTTTTTGTTTTGTTTTGTTTTGACTTTTGTATTTTTGGAAGAAGTGTAGTTCTTGGCTGCACGAGAGAGGTTTTTCTTGATAACAGTATTTTCTCTTTGACTGCCTGCCACTGTTTATCTGCCCGTGGCAACAAATCCTTTTCTATCTGCCATTCTTATCTTTCTCTACATTTGCTTCTTATCCTCCACTGCTTTTTTCCACCATGTTTTTCCTCAAGCACTCTCATTTTTTACTATTTTGACTTTTTTCCCTGACATCAGTGCAGTTTTAGACTTTTTGGAGGGTTGCATTTTTTTAATTTTTCAGCTTTTGGGTATTTTTTTTTTATCTGCCCCTGAAACCAATCTATTTTTAATTAGAAAATAAACTTGTTTCACTAAAGTGAAGGCCTTTACTTTAGAGGTTTGAGTGTCCATCATCTGTGACCCTTGACCTCTATCCCAAAATGCATTTTTTAGTTCCAAGTGGTCCTCCGCGAGGGGTGGAGGCAGAGACTGTGAACGCCTCGGCTGTTAGGGTGAAATGGCGAGCACCGGCGCCCGAACGGCAGCACGGTCAGATCCGAGGCTACCAAGTCCACTATGTGAGGATGAACTACGGAGAACCTCAGGGTCAGCCCTTCGTGAAGGACATCCTCATAGAGGACTCTCAGGTAACGTTAACATATACTCTCTAAGACCTTATGAACCAATGACCTGAGCCAGGATCTGATGAAGAACTTATGAGCTCCCCCAACACATTGGTTTACCTATTTTATAGATGAGAGAGCCAGCATGTGGCCATCTATTAATGTAGATAAAATAAACTTTTTGCCAGATTTTTTCTTATTCCTTGTCTGCACAACACTAAATATAGCAATCTGTCACAGCTTCTATTAATTTCCTGTCTAACAACTGAGTGTATTAAAAATATTATGAATAATGCCAAATATACGAACATATTAAGCTAAAACCTTCCTTAAGTTTGTTTAGATATTTTGAGACATATATTATTTGCCTTCTTTCAGAGAGACAGATGTGAAGATCAATTACGCTGTCATATCTGCACGTTAAATGAAACTACTAGCTTAAATTAGGATAAAGACTCCAAAAAGGGGGAAACCATTTGCCTGATTTTGTCCTAAGGTAACAAAATCTGCCTATCAGCACCTCTAAAGCTCAAAAATCAACACGTTATATTTTGTTGGTTTAATCCATTTTTAGAGTGTTTATGCTAAGCTAAAGCTAACTAGCTGCAGGCAGTGGCTTCATATTTTAACACATAGACATGAGAGTGGTATCCATCTTCTTATCTCTTAACTCTTGGAAAGGCAGGGAATAAGCGTATTTCCCAAATGTTGAACTATTACTTTAAAATTAACAGAATCTGTCCTTTACATGATCGCTGCTTTGGCTTATGTCTACCAGGCTTCATTTTTTTATCTTGAACATTATTACATTGGCAGTGAAAGCTTTTTGATTATATCCCAAATATTAAGGATTTTTCTCTCTTTTTCTCTTTTCTCTACTGTTCTAACGTTCAGTGGGAAAATGATGAATCAGCTGAATATGTGAGTAACATCCTTCTTTAAGCCTTTTATTTAATGGTAATAACAACAAAGGACAGGGAGTAGATGAGTCATATTTATGAGATTGTAGCTTTAAAATCTCCAATGACCAGTGTGAGGGCTTAAAACCCAGCAGGACATCCCTTTTTCATTTCAGCCTTCTGTTTTCCCCAGGATTTTTAATAAAGGACCTTGAACCACATTTTGAGCTCTGTTGAGGTAATTTGATATAGTTTTGTTGAGGTGATAGCAAACGATATCAACTGCACATTTTCCAAAAGCAGCAGCTAGGTGACAAATGAAAGAAGGAAAAATAACTTCAAAATGTACTTTCTGGCCTCAGAAAAGTATTGTTAGTGTAGAAAGTAGCCGAGTAACTAACTGAAGTGGTATGCTGTCAGACAAAAAGCTCAGAATTGTACCTTTGGTCGCTGTACCTTTTTTGACCACTTTTGAACAGGTTGACACAGACTTTTTATTCAATTGAATTCCCTGCTCAGTGTCCTGAGGGCACACAAAAGGACTTGCCTTTGCTTTGCAGCTGACGGTGCTTTTTGTTGTTCTGCAGGAGGTGGTTCTTGGAGACCTGAAGGCAGACACTTCCTACTCTGTATCAGTGGGGGCTTACACCGCCAAGGGTGATGGCGCTCGCAGCAAACCTGTTTCTGTCTGTAGCGCCCTTCCACGTAAGTGTGTCTACATAGACTCATACACAAACATACAGAAAGACATAAGCACACACACAACTAGTAATGATCTTTGAGACTAAAGCATCACTAATGATCATTAGAGGCTATTAAATCATTAAATTGGTTTATGTCTCTCTCTGTCACACCTTGCTTTGCCAGTAAGAAGTCATTTGGTGCTGTATTAATCATATTTTGCAATTTTGCTTGAGGCCATGAATAATGTGCTTCGCAATTATCCTCTAATTATCTTTTGATCATTCTCTCTCTCTCCTACACTCGCTATTTCCCTCTTTCTAGTGCCTGAGAAGCCCAAACTGATGGTGAGTGCCACTGATTCAGGTACTGCTTTGCTTCAGTGGTACCCACTTCCTAACCCACCCACCCCGCTCCTGGGGTACCGCCTCACCTTTGGCCGCATCGACGTTCTTCCCTTTACGGTAGTGGAGTTCCCCTCCAAGGAGAACCGCTACACCGCCCAGGACATCCACAAGGGAGCTAACTATGTGTTCAGACTCTCTGCCCGTAACAAAATGGGCTACGGAGAGGAGGCTGTAAAGGAAGTGACAACTCCGGAAGACGTCCCAAGTGGATACCCAGAAAATATTATCTTAGAGGAAGCTTCCGCCACCTCCCTCCAGCTGATGTGGAAATCAGTTCCACTAATTGAGCAAAATGGGAAAATTGTGAAGTACTCAGTGCTGTATAAGGATATAAACAGTCGAGGGAACGCCTCAGAAGTTGTGCTGCCCGCTCCAGGGTCGAGTGTTTTGTTGGAGGGCCTGAGTGCCGATACTGTGTATGATGTCAGGTTGTGCGCATTCACAGCTGTCGGCCCTGGGCCTTACAGCCCCAGTGTCCAGTTTAGGACTCAGCGGCTAGACCAAGGTAGGACTAACTCACTTTCTAACAACCCATCTCCATCGCTCAGGATGCAACACACGCTTCCTAACAGAACATTTGTGCATTTGTTGTGCACACTAAGTCCCACATGCACACACACACACTCAGACACACAACATCTGGTGACAACATCCTAAGTGTCCTTTTTCGTTGTCTTGTCACTGTAGTCTTAGACCCAACGTCCTTTTCCCAAATCAAGGTAAGAGTCTTGGGTGTTGGGCGAGTATCCCTGTCCAGTCAAACTCACTGTGTGTTGATCAGAGCAGATAGCTAGCTTGAGACTGGTACTAGAGAGTGATACACAGGTAAGGCCCTTACGTTTGGTTCAATAGAGAGGTTAACAGATACTGGAATCATATTCATGTTCTTTTTTGTTTTATTTTTCTTTTCCCTTAGTTTTTGCCACCAACTTCAGAGTAAAGGCTGCCATGAAGAACTCTGTTCTGCTGTCCTGGGAGATCCGAGACAAGAACCCTGCCCAGCCATTCACTGTGAGTAAATTTGCATTTTATCATGGTCAGGTCTCAGGTCAGGTCTCAGGTAGTGTACAAATAATCAAAGGCTGAATACATTTTGGGGAAAACTGTAAATTCATTGCTTGTTTTTCTCTGTGTTAGGTTGCTTTTAATGAATTTCAACTTCCTGTTTCATAATTGATAAAGCCTTGAGCTGCTGGAAGACTTTTAATGTAAAATAGATAGAGGAAGTGTGTAGTTTGCACCAACAACAGAATATTAACAACAGGCAAAAACACAGAGACTTTGTACTAATCAAATATACCAATAAAACAGAAGAAATTAAAAAAATACTATCCTCTGTGAATTAAACACCTGGTTCTTTCTGTTGAGGTAAATAAAGGCATCAGGCACTATTTGAGAACTGACAATATGTGCTGCATTGTGTGTTTTACCCTGTGTCGTATGCAATCTAACTCTGAAACTATGTGACCTACCGTGTGTCCAGATCTTGTATGGAAAAGGCCAGTCTGTGGAAGTAGACGGGAAGCAGACTCAGAAGCTGATCACTGGCTTGGAGCCAGACACCCAGTACTCCTTTCTGCTAACCAACCGGGCCAACAGCGCAGGGGGTCTGCAACACCGTGTCACCGCCACCACCGCCCCTGACATCCTAAAAACCAAGCCCATGGTGGTGGGAAAGACCAACGCAGACGGCATGGTGACTGTGCAGCTTCCAACTGTGCAGACCACAGCCAAAGTCAGGTAGTGATTATGGATAGGTTAAGGAGAGTAAAAACATGGTTTATTGTAATCTCTAAATGTAAGTAGTTTTAATAGTAACCTGTCCAATTAGGTTGTTTACAAATGAATTGTTCTATAGACCCTGTGAGTTAATTCCTCTTCTTCCTCCTGCTGCTGCTTTTCATTTACTGGTCTATCAGGAGGGATTTCTCTCAGTTGGCAGCAAAGCAAGTCTGAGAAACTCCTACAAGAGGCCAAATGAAAGCACAAAGCTGATAATCTCATCTGCTTTTTGTAACCAAGAACAAATAAAGATACCAAGTGAAAGCAGTCCTTTAGCCTTGAAGCACAACCTGAATCATAACAGTGCTACTCACATGTTCTCATAGCCTTTTTCCTGCTGTGTGTCTCTATCACATTAGAAGCGTTTGGAGGTTGTTTTTTTATAGTCCCAAACAGCATTTTTCTCTTTGTCTCTACTTTTACAGTAGGTGCTTGGATTCAGGATAGTTATACAAACTATAATCAGCTGGCTGTTTAAATTATTTACTACTTTACTACAATTGTGATTAGTTATTTGGACACTTCTACATCAATCAATTCTCTAAATACCAAATTGCTAGATTTAGGAACATATCATTTTATCTTGCTTGCTTTTTCAGCTTTAGAGACGAAACAAATTCTCATTTTCTCATATTTGACATAAATAAACTTTCTACTGTATCACTCACCATAGTAGTGTATGCTAAAGTGTAAACTTGGAGTACTGGAGTGAGTCATCTATTGAGGACCCATGGATAATTTTGGTGTCAGTGCCCTCATTACTCAACGGGTGCATACAGTCTGACCGCTTCTGAAAACTTCCCCTACTCCAGTGATATTCTTGTTTTTGTTTCACAGATGGCATCAGACATGGCCCTCTGTGTCAAAAACAAGCACACTTCTTAGATTTAGAGTATGGTGTCACAGCTGCTGCTGCAGAAATATTCTGTTTTAATATTACAATACTACGTAGTTATTTTAAAGCAGAACACTAAAGGAATAGTTAAACATTTTAGCAAATATCCATATTCACTTATTCACATATTTGTGCTGAGAGTTAGGATTGAGACCACCCTCATGTGTGTACGGTAAATACGAAACTACCGCCGGTTAGTTTAGCATTTGAAACTGCTAGCCTGACACTCTCTAAAGATCAAACTATGCCTACAAGCACCTCTTAAAAACAATAATTAAACAACTGGACTAAACTAACTAAACAAAAGTGATGGGCTATGTTAATTAGTGAGCAGATTTTGTTAATTTTGAACAGACCTAGGTTAGCTGTTTCCCCCAGTCTTTATGCTAAGTTAACTTGGTGCTTGATGTAACTTCACATTCATGGTACAGACATGAGACGCGGGTTCAATCTTCTTATCTGACTCGACAAAAAAGGAAATAACTGTATATGACCAAATGTCAAACTATTCCTTTAAATATCAGAGCACTGATGTTTCTTCAGTTACTGAAATATTAAAAAAAAGCCATAGTCTATGGTATAATTCCTTAAAACTAAGCTCAGTATATGCTGTATTTCAGGGGTTACTATGTGGTGGTGGTGCCACTGAAGAAGCAGAGAGGAGGGAAGTTCCTGAATCCCTGGGAGGAGCCTGACCAGATGAACCTGGATGAGGTGAGACATGCAGCAGACAGGATATTATACCAATAAATAGCTAAATAATGGCCATAATAAAGAGCTTATTATGATGTACTACTGATCTTGAGGGGAATGATGATGATGGTGATCAGGGCAATGGTGATTACTATTAAATATGAGATACAGATTAATATTGAATCTCAAATGCACTCTTTGATTACTTAAATCCAAAGACTTGTGAACAGCCACAGTACCAGAAATGGCTTTTCAGTCTTTACCTCGTATATAGACTGATAAATGCAGTTGCAATGTTATATAGTATATTGTTGGCCAGCTATAGACTGGCCACGGCCATTAATCCTTATGTATTTCAACTTAACATTGTCATTTTAATTTTTAGATATTTTTTTATGTGCGTAAATTAATTGTCTATGTGCACTTTTGTTTGGCACTTGAGGGCAGAATAAACTACTTTTAAACTGAATTGAATTGAATTCTCAAGTCACATAAACAAAGAATAGTTGCTGAGTTTACTGGCAGGGATTTTTTCACCTCTGTTGTATCAGACTATTTGTATCTTGTTATGAGAAGGTAGACAACCTTGTCATCTACTGCCTGTTCAATCCAAGCATTACTTTCACCTAGCATTTCCCATCTTATTCCACTTCCTGCCTTTTTCTAAAGACTTCATCACCTCATCACACTGTTCTGAAAGCACATTCATGTGTGTGAGATTAGTTTCAATAGAGCTTTTATGTGTCCACAGTCTCAGTGGATAAATACGTTAGCAATTTAGTTGATGATGGAGACATTTGTGCTTGTGGGTGATGATGCTTTATACAGCCCATTGTTCCTTCGCTGATGGGTTTTTGTGTGGGATGAAATTGCCAAAACTGCCGTTCTTTTCCAAAGCGTTTTCTCAGGAAACCCAGGAATACAATCTCTAAATATTAAGCAAATGTGTTTGTGGGAAAATAATTTTACAATTTCAAAGAATGACTAGATTGCTCTTACTGTATCAGAGAAAGTAAATTGTTGATTTGCAGTGTGATTGATGGCCTTTCATGTTGCACTATGTTTGAACTTGGCATATATTAGATGAAAAATATAATCAGTTGATGCTGTTGTTCCCCCATTTTTAATATTTTTCTCATCTTTTCTGTCAAACCCATTGCTGCCTTTGTTTAATTTCCCCCTCCATCATCTCCGCCTCCCTCTCCCCTCTTTGTCCCTGTCTACCTGTCCTCTGTTTTCTTCCCTTTCAGCTCCTGAAAGAGATCAACAGGACCAGTGTCAGTCGTGCCCTCCGCATCCGCAGACAGGCTGGCCAGTCAGATCCTAAGGCCTATGTCACTGCTCACTTTAAAACCCTACCCCTAGAGTTCACACTAGGTGATGGGCGAAACTATGGTGACTTCCGCAACCGTCCACTGCAGAACGGACAGGAGTATGTTTTCTTTGTGCTTGCACTGCTAGACCTCTCTGAGAATGTGAGTAAAAACACAAACACCCACACACACACACCATCTAAATGCAGTTTTGTCTAATTTATATGCTAAAATGCACTAAAACCACTTTGTCCTCCAGACTATGTACGCCACTAGTCCCTATTCTGACCCCGTGACCTCATCGGATGTGGATCCTCAGCCGATCGTAGATGAGGAAGAGGGTCTATTGTGGGTGGTGGGGCCTGTGCTGGCTGTCATCTTCATTGTCTGCATCGTCATCGCCATTCTCCTCTTCAAGAGGTAAGGGCAACGTGATGGAGCTAGGAAGATTTTTAAATGGTTTAATCAAGTATTGGATTGGTGAGAGAAGGGAGAAGGAAATCATGAAGAGACAGGGTGAAAGATTAAGCGTTTTGGTGAATATGAGGTAAAGAAAAATAATTATAAAGGCAGCTTACATCTTCACAGAGGGGCAACAGATACTCAATAGGGATTAACTTGTTTTCATTTCCAATTTGGCTTGTTTCTCCTCTCTCTATTCAACTCAAAATATGTGTGTCAAAGTCTGACACTATGCGCCCCCTTCTCAGTGTCCCCAGTCTACTGTAATGTCAGAAAGAATTGATAGGGCTACATGAAGTAGTCATAATAGAAGATTATTATTTATGAAACACAAGTTCTCAACGCTGTTTTTTCTGTAATCTGTTCTTAAACTCTATATACAGGAAGTTAGCCAACAAACCAGATAGGGGATGATAACATTATCACCCACTAGCATTATTCATAATAATCATCTGTTCTTCTGGCTAGAGCTATGTTAATGCACATAATAAATTGCTGTGACTGATTGTGGCATTGCAAAAGTATTAACCTTGGTTGTAATAATATGTTCATAAGCCCTGGAGTGTAACCTGTGGTGATCCACAGCCATTAAAGTCTCACTTGTGGCCAATTTGCATTTTGCAACATATTTCCACTTTTTTGTTATATAGAAGATGTCACAGTTAGAGGGTGCACTGTGAGATGATGTGTATGTGGTGTGTATGGGATCAGGCTTATGTTTGTGTCTGTAGGAGGTTCTTTTTAACAACTAAACTAGTTTTAATGATGAAGTTCAAGTTCAGCCCTGTTGTCCCTGATGTTTTTTGATTGGACACTAATGTTATTCATCCTTGTCTGTTTTGTTTTTTTTATCTGCTCTTCTCCCTGTTTGGATCCAGCAAACCTGACAGGTAAACAAACACCACCTATTACCATTTCCTCTGTCCTACAGGGGTGTTTTCTTTAGAAAGCCTTTGCAAAGAATGCTTTGGATAATGGATCCCATTAGTGTCAGGATTCACTTGATGTTGCTTTGATTGCATAGTAATCTACAGTGTACTGGATCAATTGTAAGCTGGAAGTTATACAATTGTAAATATTGAGACTGCACTGCAAAGTTTGTTCATGCCAATGATTTTAACTAAAAGAAGGAAAGAAAATGTGAAAATAGATTACATAGATAAGCCTGGCAGTCTCAGCCACAGTCAGTGTGAAAAAGCAGACACCCATCTCCTTCCCAGCCAATGACCCCGTCATTAACATATAAAAAGCACTAAACCAGCAGTCAACCAAAGCTCTGGTAGAATTTGAAACAGAAATTTCCTGAAAATTACAGCTATCCCTGTAAATGTCCAAGGAGAAATTTTATGTGGCTCACTCTGGTCTATTTATTCAAACACAAAATCCCCAGAATTGCAGCTATGCGTACGTTTACTAATCCCCACATTTCCCCTCATTCAGCCTTTTTTTCATGCAGTAAAAGGTTCAGTTCATCAGGTAAACGCTGTGTGTTGATCTGTTATTCCAGGAAAAGGGCAGAGGCCGAAGGCAGGAAGGGCAGTTTCCCCTGCAGCAAAGCCATGTCGTCCCACCATCCCACTGACCCTGTGGAGCTACGCAGAATCAACTTCCAGACTCCAGGTAAAGTAGACACAGCTGTACACACACAAGCACAAACACCACGTGTGGTTTGATGAGTGATTTTCAAAGTCTTTGTTGTATTTATAAGATTAACTGTGTCCAAGGAAGGTTAAATCAAGGGCAACTAGACTTGGTTGAACATACTTGAAGATGCTTCGCCTCTTATCCGAGAGGTTTCAAGAAGCCTTTAGGATGAGAGGCGAAACGTCTTCAGGTACCTTCAACCAAGTCCAGTTGCCCTTGATTTAGCCTTCCTTGGAGAACTATGACCTGGATGACTGAGAATCTTCACAGACAAGATTAACTGTTATGTTCTTTCCCTTTTCAGCCTATCGTGTATCAGTGTACCGTGGTTATCGCCGTTTGTCAAGTTAGTTGATCTTAGTCCACCATAGATCTCTTCTTTCTGCTGTCTTTCTTTCTTTCTTTCTTTCTTTCTTTCTTTCTCTTCCCCATATTCATGCTAACTAACCTTCCATCCCATATAGGACGAAGCTGCTTGAACTACATTTCATCAAAATGTCTCTGGAATACATCTATAAAAATTCCCCCTTCCCCCAAAAAACTAAATTTTTAACTGCCTGTGTCTTATTCACCAGCAGTGTGCATATACTCTGAGGACATGTTGCTGTGCCTCAGTAACTTCCACAACACGCACATTGTTCTTTCTGTCTGTCTGGAGAGAAAATGGTCATTTAACAATAAAAACACTTCCATTTGCTTCCTCCACTGACTACGGACACTAAACAACACCTCCTCTGAGAATCCTTACTCTTAACATTTTCCTCCAAAAGAGTTCAGTTGTACATGTATCAAATGGCCTCTTTTTTGATTTCTGTGCTCGGCAGGCATGGCAAGTCACCCGCCCGTCCCCATCTCCGAGCTGGCAGATCACACTGAGCGCCTCAAGGCAAACGACAATCTCAAGTTCTCTCAAGAGTACGAGGTAGGAATGCTGATTATCTATCCCTGAAAATCTTTAACTTGGGAAATTCATCTGGTTTTGATGCAGTCACACACATATTTATCGTTGACTCGTCATTTCTTTGCTCAGATTCAATTTCAGTGGTGAGCGCTGTAGATTGGGCCTCACTTAGTCTCTGCAGTGAAGTTGCATTTTGATTCGTCTTCACAGAACAGTACAAGATAAAGCGCATTTTCCTCTCTCTACTGTCTTGTTGTTATCTATACAAATATAAGGGGGAAATTGAAATTGCAAGCTCAAAGAGAGTTTGCTTACAGCCAGATGTTTATCGAGCCCTCATTTCTATTCTCTTGTGGAGAAAGAAGTAGAAACAGAGATACTAATAAAGAGGCAGCGACAGAGAGCAAACTCACCAAGAGATACAGGAAGCAAGCTGATTAGTTTTCGTCCAAATTGCAACACAGTTAATCTGGAACAAAAAGGCATCTTCTCGGAGATAACAATGTGCCTGAACTTGGTGTGTTGAACTGTGGCACTAAATAAGAAAAAAAACACATCAGTAGAAATATTTCCCAACATGCAGGCTGTGCAGCAAATTGTGCTAGCATTACAATGAGCTCCACAGAGAGCTATTAAAGGACTAAAAATGTTTTTCTTTTTCTTGCAAAAAAAAAAAAAATCAGTTTAGACCAACGGCCTCTGGGTGAAGAAGGAGACATAAGGCTCTAATTGGATACCACAAGAGAGATACAAATTGTGTGTGACAGAGATATGTATATAGAGGACGACAAGGACACATTATGCAAAGAGTAGAAAAACAGAGCAAGGATGTTTGAGGGAGAAAAGCGTCGAGAGAGAGGATAAAGAAGGGTGGTAGAGACAGTGAGGGAGAAGTCGTATGTAATTGTGGTGTGAGTTGGAACCACTCTGTTGAGCCTCACATTCTCTCTGCATGACTGTGTGCTTTGTTCAGTGCTGAACCCCTAACGAGGGAACAAGAGCGATGGATGGAGGAGGGATTGAGGGAGAGAGAGAGAGAGAGGCCAGAAATGATTGCGGTGTAATAATCAGACACACATGATGTTGGGCAACTCGCGGAAACCAGTCTCAAACACACATAGGCGCACACATACACACACATACGTACATGCACTCATCCAGTACCACTCCCGTCCATTTGTTCCCCAACCAAACCATAATTATGTGTCGTATAATATTCAGAATTGCTAAATTGCTTTGGCTCTCTCCTCTTTCGTCCCTCTCCATTGACAGCCCCGTAATGACCTCATGTCTGCCTCTCCCAGCTAACAGCAATGGTTACACTGTAATTACCCTCCAGGAACTTTATGTGTTGGTCTAACACAACCATCCTTTCTCTCCCAGAGGAATTTATTGCATTTTTATCATCTTTCTGTAGTAGCTTTTTTTTTTGTCTAAAGCAGAAAGCCCCTACATCGCTGTTGTTTCTTGAAAGAGGATATCCTGTTTGCTGACATTCTCGTCCAAGTTCCATAATACCTTGTTAATTTTCAGTATATACTTGGTTTTTAATGGTGTGGTTCTGCTGCAGCAACACTGGACAATGCTTGTAAGCTCAAGTTTATAGAATTGTCCAGTTCTTGCTTTTATAGATGCCATATTCTGCATTTATAGGCAGATTGGCATATCCTTGCCAACACTAAATTTAAAGTGGTAATGTTTATAGCGTATGCATGATGTTACTGTAGAGTCAGACAGTACATGCAGGGGTTCGAAAGGGGTTCAAACTTATTTATTCTCAGTTTCTTTGGAAAGTGAGCTCTGATTGATCAATATGAACATTTTAATCTAAGTAAAAAAAATGACTGTCTTTTGCATCTTGTAGTCCATCGACCCCGGTCAGCAGTTCACATGGGAGAACTCCAACTTGGAGGTCAACAAACCAAAGAACCGCTACGCTAACGTCATTGCCTATGATCACTCCCGGGTTATACTCTCCAGCATTGAGGGTAAGACACACCGCCAGTGTGTTTGTGTGCATATATGGGTGTGTGTGTCTCTGCACTCTTGTATGTATATCTTTGTGAGGACATTTTTAGGAAGTGAGGGCATTTTGGTTCCTCACTTCTTTAAAGGGCTGTCTCAGGTTTATGGTTTGGTTTCAGGGTTCAGTTCGGGTTAGGTTTTTAGATTGGGCATGTTGTTGTGATGGTTAAGATTGGGAATAAAAGAAAGGGAGTCATAACGAGATTATGTCAACGAGAATCGTCACAAGTAAAGTACATACATGTTTGTTTTAGATTGTATGAATCTGAGAGCTTCTATCCATGAGGGATTTTAATAGTACATAGTACATTTCATTGCCAATTCCCACACAACACATTCAAAGAGCCATTATTTCAGGATTCAGACAAACTGCTGTGTCTATACCCACTGTGTTACCACATCATACGATTGATATGGTCTCTCACTTGAACATTTTAATGTTTATGGAGATAAATTAGATACACACTTTATTTATAGCCTATTTACTGATATATTACCATGCTGCGCCCATTTCACTGGATTTGATAAATGGTCTAAAATAAGTAGAAAAATAGTCTCAGTCCTGTTCTCAGTGTGCGTTCTGAAGCGCACTCACCCACCTCAGCTGGGAAAGACCTGAGGCAGAGAAACTGGCAGCTCCACTGTGGAGAGAGGGAGGCAGTGGGAGGCCAAGCCCAAACAGATGAGCCTTATCTGGGCAGAGCATGTGTGAGCAGCCCTTCCACCCACGCCTGTCCTGGAGCCCTGGCTGCCTGGCATTCTTTCAGCTTAGAAAACACGTATACTCTTGAGTATGTCCAAACACACAAACACACACACACACACACACACACACATACACACACACACACACACACACATGCACACATACATACTCTACTATAGATTCAAAACACATGCCCAGGATGTGCACAAGCATAGATATGTACTTTAGCACCCCGGCTCCTCCACACATGCTCATGAACTCACACTCTCTGCCAAGCCAGTGTAGCCACCAAGTGACTGGAAGTGTGTGTGTCTTTTGCTCTAGTCCCTTGCAATAAAGTTGTGGCACATCAAAGCGTTTAGCCAAGCTGTCTTTGAAAGACTGAGGTTGATAAACATATGTTCGAAGCTCTTCTTACTGCCTGTCCCCATCCCATTTAAAATAAGTTGTGTAAGCACCCGGTACTCCTGCCCAGTCATTTAAATGCGTGTTTCCCCACTGTGTGTATGTGATGGTGGCTTGGGGTTTTGTGACTGTATGGAACTAAGTTGTGTTTATAAACTAAGCTGCAGGAATAGAATCAGAGTTTCTTTCTTGTCTGGTTTCTACTGTTTGCTCATTGACTTCTATCTTTTTAGATGTAAACTACCATCAGACGACTCAAAAGGAGTTTTGTGTCCCACTTCGGCAGAATCGGGTCACGGCTGAATGCACGTGTGCACGTCTGTGTGTATGTCTGTGTGTGTACTTTGGTGTTTTGGTGTGTGTGTGTGTGTGCATGTTTGAGCTATGACTCAGTGATTTTTGGGATTATGGTATTAGGCCCCAGATGAGCAGGACTGATCCTAAATCAAACACACACAGACGGTCTCTCACATCACACACAGACACACATACACACAATCCCTTCCAGGACAAGCGGTGTCAGCCGAGTCTTACACAGAGACGGCCTTACAGTCATATTGCCATTCAAAGCGACACATCCAGAGTATACTCAGATTAGGCCCGTGATCGTCTTAGCTTGTATTATAAAACAAGACGGCTGAACAATCCAACACCAAAGGATGCTTGGCCCTGTGAAAACATTAATCTCCCGGCCATGACCTCATATGAATCACACCCTTTATTACTGGGACATAAACCTGCTTTCATGCTTTCAGTAGACTTTAAATAATCCATATAGATTATTTCACCATAAATCAGAATAAGAATCAGGTTCATCTGCAAAGAAAATTACATTGAGTGTTGCTGAGTGATCAGTGCAGAAGGCCTAAAGCCATTCATCATACATATGATGCAGTGGATAGACATGAACGCCAGTGGCATCTATTTCACCCACCTGCTCCCCTCTGTTTATTCTCTCCTTTCTCTCCCACCTCAATCCGTCACAATCCATTCTCCTCCTCACCTCGCACACATCTCTTTCCATTTGCTTTCCTTCGACCTCCCTAACTTCCACTTTTTCCTCATTTTGCAGGTGTCCCAGGCAGTGACTACATCAACGCCAACTATATTGATGGCTACCGCCGTCAGAATGCCTATATCGCCACTCAAGGATCCCTCCCAGAGACCTTCGGGGACTTCTGGAGGATGGTCTGGGAGCAGCACACAGCCAACATTATCATGATGACCAAGCTGGAAGAGAAGTCACGGGTAAGAAAAAGGGGATGGAAGAACATGGGAGTATGGGACAGCAAGGACAGGGAAGCACAGCACTAAGCAAACACAATATACTGTTGCCCAAGGGAAGAGAAGCGAAGATGAAGGAGCACTATGATAGTATAGGCCACTTTAGGATAGCAAATATTAGGACGTGATATAATATTAAGACACATTTGTGGGCAAAGGGCTGGGATTGGACAACAGATGGGAGGTTAGCATACTACAGAAGGGGGAAGTATATACCGTGGTAGATTAGCATAGGGATCTGTAGGATAGCATAGACTACAAAGGTACTGTAGAATAACACAAGACATTGTGGAATAAATGGTACTACAAACACTACTACAGTCTTTACATCCTGACAGATGTTTTGTTTATGAAGCAAGTGGGCCAGGCCTTTATTTCCTTCTCACTGTACATTAGCGAGCGTGTTATGTAGTAGTCACTACATGCTGTACATGGCAGTGCATTATTTCTTCGGTTTAGCTGTAGCAGCCTGCTTTTCACACGTTTTTGGAGGAAACGTTGTGGAGGTCAGTAATTCTTAGAAGAACAGCAGTGACACGTAGTGTGAAGCCCGGATGTTGCACTGCCAGCACAGAAAAGCATAAAGCATGTTCACTGTTAGAATAGGACTGGTTTTGGTAGATAGTGGGGTTAAGAAGAACAGGGAATGATGTAGAAGAGTTTGGTGTGTCTGGCTGAGCCTGAATAAAAACTGTAGGATAAAGGTGAGAAGTGCAACAATGATTTTTCAACGTTAATTTACAGTAAAGTGAGAGAAATACTGAGAGCAGTGAGGGGGTACAAGACAGACCTGGACAGGACAGGACATTCATCTTTTAGGATGTGGAAAGACGGTAGAGGATTTAACAGAACGGGAGAGACAAAGAGAGGGCACGTCATGCAGCACAAAAATAGTTTACAAAATAAACCAAAAAGCAGCTAGTATCATAATGGTGACGAAGCTAAAAGTGCGAGTGAGAAGTTAGAGTGGATAGCACAAGATGTCATGTAGTTGATCCGAATAGAAAAGAATACAGTATAATATAATGAAGTAGAATGGTGAGCAAGACCTGGGGGAATTACAAGTGCAGCTAAATTGGGGTTTGGTAATGAATTACAAAATCATTTAGCTTGAAGGCATTTAGTTGTTAACAGAATGTGCGCTTGAGTAAAAATTCAATGTAATGGGAATGTCATGTTAGAATAAAATGAACAAGAATGGCTTGAGGTATGAATCATGATTAAGTGCTAACCAATTGTGTCCGGAGCCCTGTTCAGAAAATGATCCTTTCCTCTCATCTGTGCTTCTTTTCCTATTAACCTGTGTCCTGTGTTAAAACTCTGTTTCCTTTTACAACTTTTTCCAACTGTCTCTGTTGTGTCTGTTTGACCCTCAGATGCCCTCTTATTTCTTCTCTAAGGCAAGACATCTCTTTCTCTCCTTTGCTAATCCCTTTTAAAATGCAATCTCACCTCACATGGTTTTCTCCTTACCTTTTTTTTCTCTATTCAGTGCCCTTTTTTTCTGTGCAATAGCCAGTGCATTGAGTGAGAATGCAGCATTTATTTTCAACTCACCACAAAGGCGCTCATAGTTAAATTGGTCTGAAATGGGTTTTATTGTAACCACTGCAGTTGAGAAACAGTGCACATTAGTGTCTACAGTTTGCATGATCACACCCACACCACTGTTTTTCTATCTTCCTATCTAGTGGTTATGCAGCAGAGGATGTAGCTATTAAAGAAAGAGTTTTTTTTCACATGCTGGCTACATCATCACGAGTTGGGGGAAATGATTTAATCTCATTTAACACCTTTCAACATTATGCCATTAGGTGTTTACGCGTTAACAACACAGATGATCGCAGATGGTCCCACTGTGGGAATTTTGCCAGAATCCTTCCTTTTAGCACCAATCAAACCACAAAAAAGCAGGTCGCAGTTATGTTGTTAGCCCATATATCAATGCATAATATAGTCTTCACACCAGGCATTTACTGCAATCCTGTTTAGTCTTTGGCAGTGGTCTGGCCCCCCTACGTGGACGACCATTCCTGTCCCCACAGTGTCTCAAGGTCTGGTGGGAAAACAACAGTTGAAAAGCTGTAATTACAGCCTGAATGTCCCGGGCCAAAACGCATAATCCCCAGTCTGGAGCAGTGGAATGCAGAGCGAGCTGAGCTGAGCTCCCTGCTGTCTTTGATGTGAGGACTGGAGGGATCAGCACATAACGTTTGGTTTGGCCTGATTCTGCCAAGGCCCTCCAACCCCCATCCATTTCCTCTGGGATTTTTTTCCTCTCTCCTCTGTGGTCTCCAAGGCTGAGCAGAAGAACTACAAATATGCCCTCCTTATATGGGGCAATTCTAGGTATTTCAGTGGTTATGGATGCTGAGATTTGGGGTGTAGCTTTGTAGGGTTTTGTGAAGTTGGAATGTAGGGCGATGTAAAGCTGAACTGTGAGGGTTGAACTTTAGATATAACTTGGCTTTTCCAGCTTTGTGGTGGGTCTTTGTGAGAGCCCACCAACCTATGGCAATTTCATGCCACACAGTTTTCTACTATTTGAGACAATGCAGGATCACACCCCAGAAAACAGAACTCTTTCTCCTCACTATCTCTCTCTCTCTGTCACTCTTCACCCCACACACTTACTAAAACCTCTTTCACACGCTGGGTCCTCACTACTATATATGCACATTTTTTCCGTACATAACTCTGAATTTTGTAAACTCACTCTCTGATCTGCTTCAACACTCTCCTCCTTTTTCTTTCTGTTTTTTTCTTTATTTTTTTTGCATCTGTACACTTTCACACGCACCCAAGTCAGCTCCCTCTTTCTCTCTTCTTTCACAAAAAAAAATGTAAAGACGTATACAAACTGCTCTGCATCTCTCACAGCTTCTTCCCTCTTCCCTTGTAGGTGAAGTGTGATCAGTACTGGCCAACACGGGGCACAGAGACCTACGGCCTAATCCAGGTCACTCTGCTGGACACAGTGGAGCTGGCCACCTACTCTGTCCGGACCTTCGCTCTTTACAAGGTAACATGACATGTGCAGTGGAGCGTAACAGGGTTGTGTGTATATTGATCTGTCGAAATATTTATCCATACTAGTTTGCGCTTGATTGAGGTCACGTCACAGTTACTTTGTCATACATCATTGATCCTTCCAATGAGATTTAAAGTGAGTTGTGACATAATTGTGGGCCTATTTTTTCTCGGAAGTACTTGTTGAATAGAAAAAAGCAAATGTCTCAATTATTGTCTCACCTAAAATTGATCATATGTCTGGTTCAGTAAACCAAAAGTAAATTCATAGAGTTTGTTCACATGTGTATGCTAGCCTTGAATTGTTGCTGCACATTTTGAAGGAAAGATCTGGTGATGTTCTATTTTTCTTATTCTTATTTTCTTATTGTCAACAAATCCCAGGAAAACAACAAAACAATGAATTGATCCTACTAGCAAGAGTTGTCGGCGTAACCATAGCCTGATGTAATGCAGTTTATTCCTCTGTGCCACAGACCTCTATTGTTGCTCAAAAACTATTAAAAACACATCATTGACTGTTGTTCTAAGTGACATGTTCCTTTATTATCATGAACATGGGCAATGTAGTTATTTTGAGTCAATCTCACAGCTCATCCTGCCTCCATAAATACTCACTGGGCCACCAAAGGTGTATTAATCCATGGTTGAAAATAACCCCACAAATAAGCAATTTACTTTTAGTAATATTTCCCAAACCGTTTTATGATATTATTGAGCTCCTTTTCAAAAATGGAACTATATACTGTATTTGTGACCTGTTTTTAAAGATTTACATCTTCAGTAGGAATGAATGGGCCAGGAGCTGAGTACCACAGAGAGGGTAGGGATGTCTGAAAGTATTGAAAGGCAGACTAAAACATTGTGGATTCTGGTCTTTTCATGGAACACTATATGTTGTTGAAAGATTTAGAGTAACACCAGCTTTACCTTTTAACACACTTATCCAGAGCGGCTCCAATGAGAAGCGTGAGGTTCGTCACTTCCAGTTCACGGCCTGGCCAGACCACGGGGTGCCTGAACACCCTACACCCTTCTTAGCCTTCCTGCGCAGGGTCAAAGCCTGCAACCCGGCAGATGCAGGACCCATGGTCGTCCATTGCAGGTGTGTTTGTGTGTGTGTGTGTTTTTGTCGGTGCTTCATCCATATTTTTATTGCTTTAGGTTAGACATTCTTGTAATTCACTGTACCAAAATAAATCCTAAAATCACCAAGGGAGACAATCCCTGTCCAAAGTCCCTGACCAAAAAGAAAATGATTTGGTCCTTAACTCTGTGTGTGCTTGTGTGTGTGCACTTGCATAAAACACTTATGTGTTATTTTGGGTTTTACTTGGCAGCATAATTTTCAAAAGCCAAAAAGTCTGTGAAAATCAACAAGAGTCCAAGAGCACTTGTATAAGATCATTCATAGGTCCTGAGCTGAAATGAGATTGACCTGCCATTATGCAAACCCCAAACCATCCTCACTGGCTCAGACACCCACATTCCTCCCTTAACAACCTCCATCATCTGTAAGGTTTAACAACAGCAGCAACCGCCATGCTGACTCTGTTTTCCATAAGTAGCATTCAGTGTTGACTATTTACCGTTTAAGCTGGTGGTAGATCAGGGTTCATAAGTTTATATTCAAATGAGCTGTTGTCTGAGCAGCAGGACGCTCATGCGTTAGTTGGAAACTTGTCATTACAGTCTTGGCACAGTGGTGAGCTGCAGAGCTGGAATGAAGCTGCTATTCACTCTTACCAGCGAGTGAAGGAGAGAAGAAGACGGAAGGTAGTGGAGGGAATATGGAGCAGTAGCTCTCAGGAGGAAGAATTAGCGAGGTATAGATGTGGAAGGAAGAGAGAGAAAGGAAGAAAAATGGGGATTGAGAGATGATTGAGAGGGAGAGTTAGCTAGGGACTGGGAGTTAGAGGAGGAGATATGTGCAGAATGAGAGAAGGTGAGGTCGAATCCAGGACACGGTGAATGGAGATGATGAATTAAAGAAAAGAGAAAGTGGAGAGAAAATGGAGTCTAAAAAAACCCCTACAAATGTGAGAGTGAAAAAGTGGCGGGGCTGGTGTGAGAGTGTTGGAAGGGTACTTATAGTGAAGATAGAAGAGGCAGGGAGATGAGGGCGGGAGGGGGGTGAAAAGGTTGTCAGGAGAGGAGCTCTTCCTAATCTTCCGTAGCAGTCAGATGGAGTATCTAACAGGATTATCAGTCAAATTTAATTATCCTGGCAAAACTCCATCATAATGTGCCTTAACATATCAAGCAGCGCCTCTATCAAACAATGGACCGAATTTCATTCCATCTGAACAACACCACACACTAGTGTACGCGCACACACTTGTACACACTGATATTAATTTAACAATATAAAGAGGTTTTTATTCACTTGCAGAAACCTGCTTGGTCAGGGTGTTTCACCATTTAGGTACTAGCACAGCAAAAACGTGAAATGTTTGGGTGGACAGCTAAATGTATTATATTTCTGGATTGTATGTCGATAGGAGAGGATATTTTCCTAATGCCAGTCAGAAGGTGATGCTGACTCATCGCTGATGTCAATTTTTATGTCCTTTGTTGGAAATATTGCTGGCTGGCATCTTTGTGATGCTTTGATTTAGGCACAGTATGCTAGAGCTTTCGCAATGTGCAACAGGGCCAGATTAGTACTAGGTTTGAAGACACAGCACACACTCAGGAAAATTATTTACTCCACAGCTCATACCCCCACCTTATATAAGAAAATCTCATCACCGTCTGTTCACCCCCACTTTTTTTCATCAGTGCTGGAGTGGGTCGCACGGGCTGCTTCATCGTGATCGACGCCATGGCGGAGCGAATAAAGCATGAGAAGACCATCGACATCTACGGCCACGTCACGCTGATGCGCTCCCAGAGGAACTACATGGTTCAGACGGAGGACCAGTACATCTTCATTCACGATGCACTGCTGGAGGCTGTGACCTGCGGGAACACCGAGGTCCCCGCAAGGAACCTGTACTCCTACATCCAGAGACTGACGCAGATCGAACCAGGAGAGAATGTCACCGGCATGGAGCTGGAGTTCAAGGTGAGGACTAATCACCGTGTCCTTCAAGGTTGTAAAAGTAGGTCCATCTGATTTATGATGGTTCATAAAACCTATTAATGATAATAATGTGACTCTTCACTGGGCTCCTTAAGGGAGAGTCACCTTTTCCTTGTCCCTCTCCACACATAAGGCTAGATATCAGGGTCAGCTACACAATAACATCCCTGAAGTTGGTACTGTAGATATTCAGTGCCTGCTCACACTCTCTAAAGATGGTCTCTCTACCTACTGGGCATCCTGCCCGCATAAAGAAAATGCATTATATGGTCACTGTGTTTGTTGTATAAAACATCAAAGGCTTGGAGCTGGAGATTAAGGTGAGGCTGGATCCTGAGAAACTTTCATCAAGGTGCAGAGGTCTAAAAGTTGTAGTTAAGGTATTCTTACTTAAAGGATAAGTTTGATATTTAGGAAAAAATGCTTATTAACATACTTGCCGTTCTAATTGAGAACATCAATACCACACTGATGTCTCTCCATTCAATATTAAGATGGTGTCAGCAGCCAGTTACCTTAGCTTATCTTAGCAGAAGACCACTGGAAACAGGGGGAGCCAGGGTCTGTGTGAAGTTAACAAAATCTACCTGCACTTGTTAACAGTACCAGTTGACTTAATTAATATTTTATTTAATTTTATCTCGTTTGCTTCATTTGTACAAAAACATACGTGTAAAAAGGACATTTCTTGGTTTTACTGGGATGTAATGTGATGGACTATTTCTTTCACATAAGCTACGTCTTAATTAGTGAGCTGTGGAGGTACTGGTAGGCAGATATATTTAGCATTTGACAGAGCTAAGCTAGCTGTTTCTCTGTTTCCAGTCTTCATGCTAAGCTAAGTTAACCTTCATGCTAAGCTAAGTTAACCGGCTGCTGGCACCAGCTTCAGATTGAACTCTCTGCAAGAAAGAGAATAAGGTTGTTTCCCAAAATTTTCCTTTAATAATAATCTGTTGGTTTTTTTTGTCCAATATAATGTTGATGTCTAATGGTGCAAGTCCAGAATTGTACTTCCCAAACTTAGAAACTCAAGATTGTGTCATATAGTACAATGAAAATAAACAGGAAAGTCAATTAAAATGAATGAAAGGAGATTTCAAGAACAACATGTCTTTGCCAAAGTAGCTGGGACAAATACACAATGCCACTCTCTGTAGTACATAGCCAGTTGAAACAGCAAATATTTCTGTCTCACATGTCTATTCACAAAGCAATCTCATCTCGAGATCCATTTAGTAGCTGTTCTGGAGCTTTCGACTGCATCACATGGTCCACATCAGCAGATTAAGTTAGTTCATTTATGTAACTGTAGATGTTGAAACTTGACGTGATTCTGAGCACCTCCCGTTTGCAGTTGGCTAAACAATATCACATCCAGATCTATTTAGTAACTGCTGAAGATGTTCATGGGAAGATGGTTCTCTTCAACACAGCTTGAGAACAACCTTCTCTACAAGGATATGCAGTATGTATAAACCTTGAATTCCTGACCTTCATAGTCACTGAGCATCTTTCCCAGGGCTGTTAACAGTTCCCCCTCTGAGAGTTTCATATACTCAAGATGGATGGTTGGATTTGAAGGGGATTATAGGATTGTACCTTTTGAATCCAAGGTAAGAGGGTTCTACTGACGGTTTTAGAAAGCATCATAGTTTTGGAAGTTTGATGGGTATACACAAAAAAAACAAATTATGTTGGACAGAAAGTGGACAGAAAGTTGCAGTTTATAGTAAAATTAAATTGAATTAATCATATTAGCATTTTTAAACATTTAGCCTAAGCAGCAAATCAGAAATCAAAGTGAGAACACCGAACATAGGCATTAATATACAAGCAAGAGGAGTGCCTACATAAGGGATTCAGAGTGTTATTGAGGAGTGAGGAGTTATTTTCATTTTATTCTTGCTGCTTTTGTTTTGTTTACTGTGATATTTACCTCTTGCCAGACGAGTTCTCAGCAGACCCCGTCTGGTTTGGCTGGGTGGAAAGAGAATCAGTTTTAGCCATACAGGTATATATTGAAAGCAGGTGGCTTAAATTTTTCCTGGAATGGTTCACGTCTGCTCAGACGCTCAGAGGGCAAAGTAAACACAAAGCCACTCTAAGCAATCTCCTTCATTCCATACTCTGGCATTCCTGTCCTAATGGCAGCGGTCTCCTCAGAATGACAATGAACCAAACGCTTGCTGAACTGTTTGCTCAGCCTTATATTGATGTAAAACATATGCCAGGGTTGTGCCAGTCACCAGATTTCATCTCACTCACTTATGGGACAGAAACGACACTTTCCACCTTCATCAACAAAACACCAAAAGGATGGAATTTCTCATGGAGGAGCGGCGTTGCATCCCCCAAATAAAATCACAGACTGTTGAAGCATGTGTGTGTGTGAGAAAAGAAAGAAATTTAGCTTCTCTGGCAAGTTTTGGTAATCCAACACTCTATTACGACACACTGTTTTTGTTTCCTTTCACAGAGGGTTTACTGGCTGAGTTTAAAGAGGTTGCCAACAGATTTTATCCATGCTTAATAGATGGTGAAAATAATGGCACCTATCAAAGCAATAAAATGTTTTGTGTGCCAGACTCTATTGATAAGACCGAGTCAAATTCAAACCAAACGACTAGAAGAATTACTGTTGTTGGCACTGGAAACTGGGTTCAGAGTGCCCAAATGAACTGGTGAACTTGCGGTTAGTGTGGGATTTTATAGCTCGGTCTGTCTGTAAGAAAAAAAGGTACTGCTGTTTCTCCCACAGCGCTCGGGTAGTCACCAATGGTCGAGGTTCAGTTCATGAGACCCCATTGTTTCCCCTCCTGAGTCTGCGGTTTCCCTCTGCCTATTCTCCGTTGTTCTGTCTTTCATTTCAAGCCGTGTCATCCAACGGTCGAGTGTTAGACAGAATGTATGCTATGTGCTCACTGTCTGCACGTATCCATATGAATGTGTGTTTTTCAGGTTTTTGTTCCCACTGGTGCAGGATCAACTGTGGTTCACATATGTGCATTGAGACAGTGTGGGGCCCTGTGGTTTCCTCCCCCCCGACTCCTGATTTTCTCCTTCCTCCTCTCGTTCATCTTATTATATTCCCTCTCCCATTGGCTACCACTGCCCTTGTCCCCCTATATCCCCCCATTTCTTTGTTTATTCAATTGAAGATGTCTTACTAAATATCCTCGGGCCTGCAGAGTCAAGCTCATTTTCTAATTTCAGTTGTCCAGTATGCCAGAGGAAAACCAAGGCTTGTGCTAAATACATTTGAATGAGGTCCTTGAATATGTCTGAACTTACTTTTTTATTTCCCCAGTATTTCTCCTCCTTCCTTTAATCCGTCCATCCTTGCTTGTTCCCATTACTCCCCTTCTTCCTTCCTCCCCCTTGGCTTTCTTTATGTTTTGTCTATTCTCACCAAAACCACTTATTAGGCCTATATTTAAGAATATGTAAAAGATTCTTCATATGTCAGTCAGCTTAATATTATAAAATACTGATTTCTTTTCTTCTCTAGCGTCTGGCCAGTGCCAAGGCCCACACATCACGGTTCGTGAGTGCCAACTTGCCATGCAACAAGTTCAAGAACCGGCTGGTGAACATCATGCCCTACGAGACCACGCGTGTGTGTCTGCAGCCAATCAGAGGAGTGGAGGGATCTGACTACATCAACGCCAGCTTCATTGATGGATACAGGTCTTTTTTATGCTCCTTTTTGTTTGGTGGCATTTAGTTTAAAATTTTGTTCATTCAGTTACTATATGTAGACTCAAAGGTCAAACAGTTTACAGAGAATGTCAACTCTAGCATAGCTTCATTTGAAGTAAAATGAGTCAAGAAGACAGTGCATATGTAGAGTATTTGATTCATGTATTTGTGTTTGTAGGCAGCAGAAGGCCTACATAGCAACCCAAGGCCCGCTGGCTGAGACCACAGAGGACTATTGGAGGATGCTGTGGGAACACAACTCCACCATAGTTGTCATGCTAACAAAACTGAGAGAAATGGGACGGGTATGGATACAGATATACACACACACACACACACACACAGACACACACACACAGACACAGACACACTAATGTTTCAAGTACGCCATCTAGGGTACTGGCTCTACTGGGAAGCAAACCTCTAATTTTACTGGTCTAAAGGCTTGTAGATCCGGTGCTTCTAGGGATAAGTCTTACAAACCCACACTAATTCAATTCTTGAAACGATGGACAAGGTTTCGATGCAACCCAAATTATCAGATGGTGATTTGCTCTTGATTGCATGATTAATTTTACGCAAACACGTACTGTAACATTATAATTAGTGAAGGACTTCTACATTTGTTTCCCCTTCCTCTATGTCTTTCTATTAGCAAAAGCAAATTCTGAGATTTCCTCACCATGAGAGGACCCCGATTGCCATAATTTTTGTTCAGTATCTCCAAAAAAAATTTGAAAAAGCAGCAAGATTAAAAATAGTATATGAAGCACTGAAAGTGCAAGCAACATATCGATTGTGATGTGAGTTATGCCTCATGAACATCATATCCCATCTGGCACATGACTGTCTTCAAGTGAACAATGAATTTCAGAAGTCAGGCAGACATTTTCATGACAAAGTATCCAGACATTGTTCTCCATTCACACTGAATCACCTAGACGTGATGTAAAGCTCTGAACAGAAGCATCTGTGCTGTCCTTCTGCAGGAGAAATGTCACCAGTACTGGCCGGCAGAGCGCTCAGCCAGGTACCAGTACTTTGTGGTGGATCCCATGGCTGAGTACAACATGCCCCAGTACATCCTCCGAGAGTTCAAAGTCACTGATGCCAGGGTGAGTGATCCCCCTGCGTTTGTGTTTATGTGTGAGCGTGTAAGAAGGTATAATTTTTTTACTGGACTAACATTATTTCTGTAATTTTAAATAATAAGAAAAAACACATTCTCTTCCTCCAGGACGGCCAATCTCGAACAGTTCGTCAGTTCCAGTTTACTGACTGGCCAGAGCAAGGAGTGCCAAAATCAGGGGAGGGTTTCATTGATTTCATTGGCCAGGTGCACAAAACTAAAGAACAGTTTGGCCAGGATGGGCCAATAACTGTGCACTGCAGGTAAGATCTATTCTTCCCACTAACTCCTCAATATTTTATACACTGTGATCACTGTGTTTATTGTGACAAACTTAAGAAAACCCTAAATAAATGAGTGGAGAAACGGATTTTGAAGGACTTGAACACCATTGCGGAATTCGGGACTGACACCATGATTTGACACACCAAATGAGGGAATATTTTTTTGTAGGTGTTCATCCCTCAAAGACCTGAATTTGTCACGCATCTGTACATGTGATCACTGTAATTAAATGAACTAAATACTGTAAAGACAAAACACATTAGAGTCGGATTCAAATAGACTATGTGCAGTTGATAGTAGTTTAAAACAAAGCACTTTTTGCAGATCTAACCAGTGCCCTAAACAAATATGGAACAGTTTATATGTCATTGGCATACACACTGATCAGAGATACTGCATGAACATGACAAACATGAGTGGTTTCAGTGCCAGTCATATTGCCAAATAATAGTCATATGAACCCAACCATATTTTGTAGCCAGTTCACATCTACCCTAAAAGACCATCTTCAATGAGCCCAGTTAATAGCGGGGCAGGTGGGACTCAGCAGCTAGATTGAGTCGTCCTTGGTGGTTTGATTCCTCCTCCTTGGGTGGTGATGGAGTAATGGATAAGACACATGCCCTTTGTGTGAGAGACCTGGGTTCAATCCCCCACTGTGACCCATCCACCATTGTGTCCCTGAGCAAGACACTTAACACCTAGTTGTTCCAGAGGCTGACATATATAGCAATTTTAAGCCGCTTTGGATAAAAGCGTCGGCTAAATGAATAAATGTAAATCTGTCCACATGTTGTGGTGTCCTTGGGCAAGACACTTAGCCCCGTTGCTCCCAGTGATTAAGTCAGTGCCTTGCATAGTAGCTCATCGCCAATTGGTGTGTGAACGGGTGAATGGGAGGCCAATTCTAAAGTGCTTTGGTTATGTAAAAAGCAGTCCATTAAATTCAAACTGGAGGGGTTTGGAAACTGGGGTCTGAGGATGAAGAGTCATGATCTTTAGACATTAGCCTAAAGCTCACTGCCCTAGTAATGAGGCCGTATTAGCAATATTAGTGTTCACTTCTCTGTCAAAGATCTGAAAAACCTTACCTTGCTTATAATACAAAGGGTGTCTGATCTTTGCCACGTGTGAGCAATTCAATTTAGGTCACTACTACTGAAATAACCAATGGGAGGAGCTTTTCTATATGATTGTAAACATGGCACTTCAGTTCATCAAAAATGATTACAGGTGCTCCAGTTCTAAATCCATCCAGCTCTAAATATGTTTTCCACCTGTACCCCAACAGTGCTGGAGTAGGGAGGACTGGTGTGTTCATCACACTCAGCATCGTGCTGGAGAGGATGAGGTACGAGGGAGTGGTGGATATCTTCCAGACTGTCAAGATGCTGCGCACCCAGAGACCTGCCACCGTTCAGACAGAGGTGAGCTTGTTATGATTCTCCCTTCTAGTCCATGCTCTCTTTCTCAAACTCTCGTCTCTTTTTCCCTCTGTCACTGACTTGATACTCTTCTGCCTCCCTCCAGGACCAGTACCAGTTCTGCTACCGGGCCAGTCTGGAGTACCTGGGAAGCTTTGATCACTATGCAACATAAACCCAGTGGTCGTCTCTCATGCCACATCCCACCTAGTGCACTTTTCTTTGGTCACACACGGCCTGAATTAATGCACTAGGCTGCGATGTGTCTTTGAAGATTTTTACCACCACATGCAGAGTGAAGGGGGACCATCGGCTTATCCCGTACCCAGAAACAGCACCTCTAACTGAGCCATAGTAACCTGCTTGACAAGGGTGTTTCCTTCCACCCTCAGCCCAAACACACCCATTGGTCAGTCTGAAGAAGCAACTTCAACCACTGTTCCAATCAGAATACTTGATCAGATATTGATTTTTATTCATTTTCAGTGCTTTTGTGAGCACCCAGGTTGCTTTACATTGTTTGGGTGTGGAACTCTCACCTCGTCCACCACCAGTGTAGCATCACCAATACAGGACCCGGCTACAGTATTTAGCTGTCACAGGAAATTTAGATTTTTCTATCTTGAGGACTGTCTAGAAGGAGTCTACAAAATCCATCTTATGGAAGCCTCGTGGACTGAAAGAACTGGGACTTTTGAGCACCAGAGAATTGCCAACAGGAGACTGAAAACACAGAGCACACCGTATTAAAAAAGAACACACATCCCAAAAGAAGTGTTTTTTTTCTGTTTTGTTTTAGGAAACAGACTCTCGTTTCCTGTGAATGATAAAGAAGATATTTCTACCATACAGTAATAAAAACCACCAGTTCAACCTTATGCTTCACGATTTAAGATAAGGGAAATTTAAAAGAGAGGTTTAAAATGCATACCACAAAGTAAAACATTCATTTAGTTTTTTAGAAAAATATAGATATGTGACTATCTTGTTTTTTAAAAACTGGGTATTCCTTGTGGCACGTTCTGTTTTTGTTTTTTACAGATTTATGACTTTGTCCCCACCAACGTTACAAAGTTGTAATTTTTCTTTCTTTTTCTGTGTAATCAAATGAGCTGTAGCGATTTTTTTTAAGTGATACGGTACTGTTTTAAATTGTACAATCAAATCTAGTGTGGAAAATGTTCACAATGCTATGAAAAACACCACAATTGGGTGTCACTCTCCTGTATTCTCTACCCACGCACACACGTTTCGCATGCACACAGGACCTTATTTCTACCTGGCCTGCAGTGTGTCAGTGAGGGCAGCCATTTTTGAATTCCCACTGGGCCCATAGAGGTACAATATTAACCCTGCTGCTACCAGAAAGAAGAATCTTACCAAGATGTTCTGTTTGCAGGTTGTGAGAAAGCCAGATAAAACACAACTACAGAGAGTATGCACAGAAAGCAAAATATGAGAAAAAAAGTATTTATGTGTCCAATTAAGCTTCACAAAGATTTCTCAAGCAGGGAGCGAGAAAGGGATGTAGAAGACAGGGTGGGATGGGAAGGTCAGGGAAGGAACAATTGTCTCACTGAAATGCTCACCTATGACTTTTCTCTCTGTCTGATTCAGTGTGCAATAAGTAGATGTATTATATATTTTTGTGTCAAGTCACTAACTGCAGTTATATGCCATTATGATGACGATACTGATGACGGTGCATCATTTTCCAGACACAAGGATGTTACGCTCCATATGGTTCTCACCACCGTTTAACCTGTCCAAACAGAGGGACGTCCTCTTAGGAAGTAGATCTTTTATCACGTCACAACTCCAGTAGATGATGTCATCCTTCTATGTGTCATGGAAACCAACGAATGATCGGACTCATATTTCAAACAGCATCTAATAAGTATTTTGATTTTAGATTTCTAGTGCCTTATATTACACGCCTATTTTGATAAAGTTACTTTAAAGGGTTTTTTTTGTGTATTTTACGTGTGTATGCTTGTGCGTATGTGAACTGAATGTCTGTGCATATGATTTTGTTATGTTACAGTATGTGAATAAGTGTCTTGTTCTGTTTTTGGCTGTGAAATTATGTATGGGAGGCTCTGTGTAGGCTGGATAGTTGTACTCATTACTTTCAACCCAGCAACAACATCATCATATCTCTTTAAATACGAAAATAAAAACAACAGCTACTAATCATATCTTACATGAGACTCAACTACATGTGGTTTCAAAATAGGTTATCAGCAGGATAGTCTGATCAGTGTGGAAAGAAAAAAGTTTCTATGTTGACAGCTTTCCGTCTTTTACTTCCTGGGACACTTTGCACAAGCTTTGTGTATATACTCTTTCATTCTGACTTCAGTTTGACTGCCATGAAATTTTGGCCACACTAGCAACTTTTGGCACGGACTGTCAGCTGGCTCAGACAAGCCATACTTACTCAGCTATGTAGAAGTCTATATAAAGCAGAAAGGCAGTGGTTATCTCTGTCAGTTTTGAGAAAAAAGCAAAACTGCAAACCCTATGGTAACACTCATGTATCCCACCTGAAGCCCTTCACCTAAAATCAGTCAAACTGGTCATCTGTTTTCCACGTTCTGATGTCTACAATATATTTTTTTTCCTTTAACGACAAAAGCTGAGAGAAGTTCAGGTGCTACACTACGTCTCCAATGACACAGAAGCTACGTCTTTTTTTCTTTTTGGACCTCCATTAACGCTTGACCATACAAGGGGTCGTTGACAGTTTTCCACCATCTTACAGTAACCCTGTTGTCGTTTTTTTTTTGTATGCATGGTACCACTTTTGAGATGCCCCTATGGTCGCACCTGTTATGGGAAGACTTGCACTTTCTCTCTTTGTACTATGCACTAATACTAGTATCCTATTATCTCTGATAGCCCCCACCTCCCCACCACCAAAAGGAGTTTTACTTGAACTCAGTAAAGATGGATCCTGTAATGCTCACATGGTTGTGTATATGTAAATAACACAAAACACAGAGAGTAATTGAATAAATAAATGAATAAATAAATAAAGGATTATGGTAAAGAGTGAATAAAAATCTATCAGATATACAGAGTGATAAAAGGATGCACCTGAAATCACAGTTTATGGCACAGCAGTTATGTGCAATACATCACATTGTGGATTTGTTGTACCACAAAAAGAGAAGTCTCACAAAAAAAGTGTTCTATTTTACCCCCAATGTATCATGTAGATGGATAAAACTGGAGTTTATAAATTGTATAAAAACGAAAATATGGTGTGTTACTTGGATCAGTTACCTCCAATTGGTCTGTAAATGTAAACTTTTTTGTTTGTTTGTTTTCTGCTCCGAGTCAACAAGTGCTTTTTATTTTCTTACATTCGTTCTCGGAGTGTGTGAAAACCGAAAAACAGGTCTGTATGGATTTCTGTTCTCTGTCGACACAAGTTTCATTTGTTACAAATAAACTCAAGTGAAATAATTGCTATGGCTGTCGTTTTGTATGTCGGTATTATTATTTTTGGCTGCCTTTACATTGCTGGTAAGACACTGTGATAGAAGTCAATTGTGATTTCCGTGTTTGAAATGCTACAGAAACAAGCTCCAAACTGTCTCAAATTAAGCATTTTTTTCTAACTCCTACTTAAATGATTCATGTTGTAAAAGGATGACATTAGGGCATGGATTGTACTTGTTTTTTAAAGGACCATGTATAATTTAGTACTATTAGTACAGACCATTTAACAGGGATATTTAACAGCCTACTATGCATTCTTTTCTCCATTTTTACTTCCAGGCAGTTATTGGTCTCAGCTGTTTCAGTGACTTATGAAAATGAACTTGCTGAGACTTTAAACTTGCTGGAGATTTTTTTTAAAAAGCTCTTTTTACTTTTTGTCAGTGTTATAATGGTCAAGGCAGTAAAGACATTCTTCCTGTCAGTGCATAGCCTATATGGACACTGACAGAAGAAACTTAAAACTCACTTTAATTTTCACAACATTGATATTTGCCTTGCTTGCCGTGTGTATTAAATGGTTAATCGTTCTATCTAGAAACTTACACTATGCTTAGAAAATGATCAGGCATAATGTAAAGCATATTAACTCTCAAACTGTCGTAAAGGGGCTAAAACATGTTAAATCAGCAGTCCTTTTCTAGACCATGCTAGCATAGGATAACGGGTGGTCTTCAGCAAATTCAGTGAAAGTGGTGGGAAAATATGAGATGGCATTAAGAGTGAGAATCTTAAGAGGGTACCACCATGCACTTCTTTGAGTTTATAGTTTATACTTAGGCACAGTAGTGGTTAAGATAAATTCTAGCACTTGCATGACAATATGCTCACAATGACAATGCTATGTTTAGCCGATATACTATGTTCAGGTATGTTTACTTTGTTTAGCATGCTTACATGTGCTAATTAGCGCTAAACACAAGCTGAAGCATATGGAAATACCACATTCAATGTACTTTTTCCATGTTATGCAACTGTATACTTCTACTCCTCTACAATATTGTCCAGTTAACTTTTCAGATTACAATTTTTCATACCCCTTAGGTCCAGTGAAAAACCATGCACCTCCAAATTTGGCAATTGTGAATTAGAATTTTTCTGATAACCTGAAGTGTTCCTTTATGGTTGAGAAAACTGCAATACTGCTGTAGATTAAACTACCCAACAGTATATAAAGTAGTTAAAATTAGCTCAACCTTTACTTTCAGCAGTAAAATGCAACATAGGCTACACATTATTACATCAATAATATTAATCCAGAAACATCATACATAATGATAAAACACTGACAAGGACCATACTGCATATTGAGTACTTTTACTTTTGAAACTTACATTTAGCTAATAATTAATACATACAAGTGAGGATTTGAATGCAGGATTTTCACTTAGTGGAGTATTTTTACATAATCTTTTAATAATCTTTGCAGTTGGTCATTATTTTTTGTTGTTTGCTTTTTGCTGAATTAGCTCATAAATTGTGACCCAATGATGTCACTAACTAAATGAAATTTAATTGTACAAAACACAGTCCATCCAGAGTGAGACATGAAATTTTGTAGAGGTGTGGTCCTGGGAGAATTGACTCTGGTCTTCACTTTTCATCCGGTGCCACTGACAGGTCAGAATACCACTTGTCCAACATGTTACTTCATGACAGGATAGTATAAAGTAAATTCCCTTTTTGAGTCTCAGCTGTAAATTGTTATTAATTCATAGTGTGCCAACACACTCACTATAGCAGCTGTGGAAAACACCCTCCCACTTCATATTTCCTCCACCTGACCTGACCTGGCCTGTGTGGGCCTGTGAGCAATCTCACCTGCGGCAAACAAGCAAGATGCGATTTATCTCAGTGGTTTGTTTGGCCTGTGTGAAAATGATCCATAAGTTTGGTTTATTTGATAGTGTAAAAATGAAACGATGTTCTTTGGCAGCTTTGTGGTTTGTTGCTTGCTGTAAAAGTGCATTTTCCAATCAATCAACCAATTCAAATATTCCTCTTTATAAGAATGGCACGGGACCCGTCAGCCTATACTCATTCAGTATGTCCTAACAAATAAACCATTATTTTATAGGCATTCCTGAAACCAGAATTGCCTTAGCGTGGGAATATTCACTCACAATGTACAGCTGCTTAGACTGAGGAAAGCTGAGTTGAGTCTGGCAATGTCTAAAATGGCCTAAAATGGCCTTTCCACAAATAGACAACCGTTCCTATAGTGGCATCCACAGGCCATAATTTAGTTTTTTTTCTTCCTCACTAGGGTGTAAGACCCTAAGAACAGCAACATTATCTCTATTCGTCTCACAGTTTATTCCAGCATCGAGCAGAAATGTTTCAGCAACTTTTTTGGCTGTGTAATGAGCATTCCAGCCTCACAGGGCCTCTTGTATTGCTGTAAACATTTAGTCTTGTTAAACCCATATTGGGAAATGGACTGAGGCTGCAGTGAGTGGAGATTTACGGCTGAAGGCGCCTTACTTGTTCATGTCTGTCTTGTCATTGGAAAGGCACAGCGAATTATCTTCCAACGCCTCTACCAGGACACAGAGACTGTCTTGCTTTGAGCAGAACAGTTACATCAGTCTTGTTCCCAACGCAGCCTCTGAAGCTCTGCTGCATGTTTCATCAGCTCCATTCCCACCACTTCAAGAGTTCCTCTGTTAGACCACGTAGGATGTTCTAAAGACTCACTTGGCCCTTTGGATCCATAAGCTTCTCCATATGGCTTTTTGCTCCTGTGGCAATGCAGCACTGTCATTGTTTAACAAGTGCGTAGCTATAACAAATTTAGGTAAATGAAATGGTTTGGGGGAGCAAAGCCAACTTGAAGCCTTCAGTCTTCACAAGTTCATCCTTGAGTCAAACCATCCCAGTGGAAAGTTCCCAACTGGACTGCCCAATAGGTGATACAAAACCTGCTGAGTGATGCACAATAAAAGGAGACTTGTGAATTGGACCTAAATGTTAACTTTCCACAGACAAAGCTTTGCCAAGAGCAAGAGTGGAGGTTACATTACGCTCGTAGAGACGCTCCGGAGGCCGTCTCTACCCTACACCGTCGGGTAGCCCTTCTCTCAGGTCTGTTACTGCTACTCCAACACAACACTGGGCAGCTCACACACTCCATCCTCAGTCCGCACGCAGTGTTGAAGCAGATTGTGCTCAGTCCTGCTCTGGAACCCCACAACCGGCATCTCCTCGTCTCGTCTTTTCTCCCCAACCACACTAACAATTGGTGACTCCATAACCAGAAACATCCATTTCTTTAACGCTACCACTCACTGCTTCCCCGGTGCCACCACGGCTGACATTTTAAAAAAACTCCAGGACCTGATGCCATCGCTCCCGTCCTCCATCACAAGAGTGATAGTCCATGTCGGAACAAATGACACAGCTCTTCAGCAGTCTGAGCTGACAAAATCAGATTTTAACTGTCTTTTTAACTTAAAGCAGTGTGGAAAGTCCGTTTTTATCTCTGGTCCCATTCCCACAGTTGGTCGCGGTGCTGGCCGCTTCAGTAGACTCCTTGGCCTCCACGACTGGCTCCAGTCCGCCTGCAGGGCTCACCTTGTGTGTTATGTGGATAATTTTAATATTTTCTGGCAAAGAATGTCTCTTTTTAAGACAGACGGACTTCACCCAAACAAACGGGGCTCAGAAATGTTAGCTCCTCACATACAGCATGTGGTGCGGTCCACACATGACTTACGTGAATGACTAATCATTCATGCAGCACACCTGGACTCACCACCGCTCACTGAACAGATCTCTGCCTCACTGCCACTAACAACTGTCTCCACGTGCTGGCATGTAAAGCCGTCTGCTCCCAGCGCTGTTCCAAAGACTTCTACTCCTCTCATCATCACGCACATCCCACACAGAAATATTAGTAATCTCTTAAGGATTAAGACAACTGCACCAACTCCAGCACCCAAACCAAACTCATTTAAAATGGATTTCTTCAATGTGAGATCACTTTCAAGTATGACTTTTATCTTAAATGATTTTATCTTGTCTGCAAATCTAGATTTTATGTTTTTAACTGAATCATGGTTGCAAATGAATGACTATAGCCAGCTAGCTGAACTGTGTCCGCCTCAATATGATTGTTTTAGTCAACCGAGGGTCAGTGGTCGTGGTGGTGGGCTAGTGAGCGTGTATAGGAAAAATTTAAAATGTCATCAAGTACGCTGTGATCGCCTGTTACTCATGCTGCCTCACCAAGCTCCTTGTGTTCTCGCATCCTTAATGAACAAAGTGTTTCAAAGTTTTGCACATTCTTTCAGAGCCAAAGCCAACACCTGTCTGATTCCAACACCAACAATCTGGTCGATCACTTCAATCATATCTGCTTGTTGTCACTAAATATTACTGCTCCTCTAAAGGTTAGGCCTACGTCTAAAGCTAGTAAGCAACCCTGGATAAATGACAGCATTCGCAGCCTCAAAAGGGAATGCAGGAAAGCAGAGTGCAGATGGAAAAAATCCAGTCTCCAAGTCCATTACCTCAGTCTGAAGGATTTATTAATTAACTACAATAACATGGTTAAGGATGCGAGAACACACTATTTTTCTGAAGTCATTACTAGAATGGTTTTCATCCTACCTGTCAAATAGGAAGTTTTGCGTGTCTGTAAACAACTATGTCTCTTCGTTCTGTCAAGTTAAATATGGTGTGCCTCAGGGGTCGGTCTTAGGACCCATTTTGTTTTCCTAGTATCTGCTTCCCCTTGGACATATTATCCATAAACATGGCATTTCTTTTCATATTTATGCTGATGACACACAAATATACTTGCCCGTCAGATCCACAGACCCTGGAATGCTGAGTTCACTTAACAACTGCCTTTGTGAAGTTAAAAAATGGATGTCAAATAATTTCCTCCATCTGAACTCAGACAAAACAGAAATCCTGGTCATTGGGTCCCAGCAGATGGCAAAACAAATACTGCCATCTGCTG